CTCTAAGGATAATGTGGTCGAAGTAGGTAGTGCCATTGTGTTATTAGATTCTATAGTTTGAATATTATCTTTTGTACCTACTAGCAATTTTGAATTAAAATTTTTATTTGTTATTTTCGATTGTCTACAATCTTGTATTACGTTTTCTTTTTGACGGTTATTCAGTAATCTAGTAACAGGCCTAGACAATCCTAACAGACTTATGTCAATCGGACGCGATGGTACGTAGTTTTCGTCTAAATCAGAACTCTCGGAACTACTGTTACTATTACTAGACCTATCTGACATGCATTAAATTGTATACGTAAAAATAAAAATAAAAAAATTAATTAAATTAATATGGCTAGATTATTATAATTTGTAGTATCACCACTCCCTATAGTTAATACCACTATTGATATAGAAATAATAATAATCATACAAATACTAATAGTAATAATGACAACGACTTATAGTCGTACCAGTCGACAATAATACGTTAAAAAAAAAAAAAATAAATATATATGTATAATAATATTTTAATAATTAGCTTACAATATTACCCATGAATGCATCGCATTCAGTTGTATTGTGCTCAAGTGATTGTGTGTCCCACGACGCGTTGGCGTTGACGTAACAGCTTATCGCGACAAGAGCGGCTGCAGCAACACAGCGGCGGTGGTGACTCCACGACGGCGACGGTGACGACGGCTACGGCGGCGGCACCGTGGCTATAATGGTGTTGTGAAAAGTAGATCACGACGTTGAATACAATGCGTGTCCACTATAGACGGTGCGCTTGTTGTTGACAACTGGAACGCCCGTGAAAAACTTTTTTGACGAGAGTGACTTATATGCCACCTCTCAATTGATATAGTCCTTATGACGATATACCTACGTGGACGAAGTAGTTTTAATATTTGCAAAATGAAGTATAAAATTACCTCGAATAGATATATATTAGATATATTAGTTATCCTTCTGAAGTTGTTTCTTTTCCAAAAATTATGACCGCGACACCGCTGCCACCAGTTGTTGTGCTCGTACGGGTTGTTCCGTTTGAACGTTGTTATTTCGGTAGTGTGAGGGTTCAATTTTTGGAGAGAGTACAGCAAAACAGTTTTAAAGATTTAAATACTAATATAATTTTATTGTGAGTCGAAATTTATAATTCACTGTAATATTTATAATTGACTGTCAGAACGACGTACAGGTTTAAAAGAGCTAAGACGACTGACTCCACGGTTCCCTAGCGGCTGCCGTGTAGCTGCAATATTCCGGGAGTCGCCCACACATTAGGCGTTACCCGCAGACTACAATAATATACTCTTATATTCTAATACAAAGGGCTAATACTATATACTAATAGCTAATGCGTTCATAACAATATTATACTATATTATAATTATCTCTTATATTACATTAACAATATTTAGACATAAACTAGGTACTAGTCGTGAGTCGTGACCTTTTACAATATACAAAATGTGATTTAAGTACATCAAATAAAAGAGTCTAGAGCACCTTCATATCACTCAGCCTAATACACACACACACATCGTATGACTTTTGTACACTGTATGATTACTGAAAATACACTATTATTTCATTCACTGTTAAAATTAACTTCAACTTTATTTCAAACCATTATCTATTGGTTCGTTGACGGTCGATGTATTATTCCATATAATTTGTAAAATAATGATGAAATAACTTGTATATCGCCATCACAAGCTTGGAAATATATTTGAAAAAATCATGATTTTTCAGTGAAAATCGGTAAAAATATGTTAATTCCTCCCAAATTATGATAATATTATAATTTTGATAAAATCTTGTAAAAATATAATTTCTATGTCAAGATCACGCCTAAAATATCGAAAATATTAATAATAACATATAACTAGTTTGAAAATTAATCCATCAATCATATCGCGTTAGATATTAAATGCAACTATACACTATAACAGAACATTTCAGTTTTAAATAGTTGACTTACTAGTTACTTCTCTCAATCTAAACTATAATATGATATTATATCAAGTTTTATGGCTCATACATTATATAATGTTAAACATGTAAACATATTTTCATAAGTTCAATAGAAATGTGTTCAATTGTAATTATCATAATCTCACTGTAAAAAAAAAAATATATATATATATAACTAATATATTTTACCTTTAAAAACCGGTACATTCATAGATACCTTTGCTAAAAGTTATTATTTTTGTTTAAATATCATAAAAACTGTATTCATAGAGCCACACTCTTCAGCTATATAATATAACACCTATACTATCAACTGATTTTCACTGATGTTGTTCACTGATTTTCATCACTATACCTGTCTCGAAATACACAAACCTATATTATATTATAGTGTAGATTGAAGAGAAGTAAGTCAACTATTTAGAACTGAAATGTTCTGTTATAGCGTATAGTTGCATTTAATATCTAACGCGATATGATTGATGGATTGATTTTCAAACTAGTTATATGTTATTATTAAGATTTTAGATATTTTAGGCATGATCTTGACATAGAAATGATATTGTATAAGATTTTATCAAAATTATAATATTATTATTATAATTTGGGAGGAATTAACATATTTTTACCGAGTCCGTAAACAGGTCAAACCAGTCAAAATATTTTTAACATTTTATCAAGTATAGAAACTGATACCTAATTTAAACATATGGTGTAAAAATGTAGTATTTTAGTATTTCAAGAATCTACAGTCATTCATTATTGAAAATAATTTAAGAAAATCGCTACTTGACAAATCAAATGAATATCCAATGTTGTAAAAATTTAAATGCTTATAAAAAAAAAAGTGAAAAAATATATTTAATATTTGTCAACTGCCATTGTAACTGAATGGGAATTTGTTAAAAGGGACCCAAGTTACATTTTTGACAAAAATAGTTTTGTTGTATATTATTCATCGTCTTATGTAAATACATCGTTACATAAATCAAAGACTGATTCAATAAAATTAGGTACATAAGATTTTCATTTTTTTTTATTTTAATAAAAAAATTTTGTTTTTTGAAGATTGTTATTAATTTGTTTATTTAGTTGCATTGTCATATATTTAATTGGATAAAAGAAATAAGAAGGTATTAGATTATTTTAAAATGTGACTATTATATTAAATTATGATACCTTAAATTAATAAAATTATTAGAATTTGTTTAATGGTACCAGCTATGTCACATTACAACAATTCGTTATTTATAAAAGTACAAATTATTTTAAATAATTTTTTTTGCTATTTATTTTATACAATACAATACAGTACTATTTAATCTAAATTGTGATGATTGATCTTAATACGCAAATAGAAATAAAGGAAAACTTTTTTGGTTTCTCCTGAAAAGTAGTTGAAAATGTATATGGGTCCCTTTTAACAAATTGATAATCCCTTTTTAATGAGTTATCAACCAACTTTCTAGTTATCATAGTTTAGAAAAAAGTTAAAAAATAAAAATTTAGGAACTGTTCATTCCGACGTTTTTATGGATTCAGGTAGTTATACCGTATGGGTGTGATACCAAATCTCTCTCATTAATATTTTATATTAAAGATATCTAAATTACTCACCTACTCATCATTATTGAGTTACATTTTTACTATTTTCCTATTTAACACAAATTCTCGAAGTTTTCAAAATTCAGACTTTTTCATATCAATTACCATACTTACTTGATTAAAAATCAAGAAAGTAAATCAGATCTTTTTGAAATCAATACATTCATCGCTCAACTTGAAATCTAAAACGTTAATATTAGCAGAATTCTGTATTTCTAAATTCTAGTTTTGCGATTCAATAGTATATCGGTAGGGCAACGTTAAATCCGCATTGGCCTTGAGTCTTTTCCATACACAAAATGTGTCATTCATTTAAATATCCGTTAAAAACCGACCACCTCATAAGAATAAAAAGTAAATATTAGCTGAATTGTGTGGTACTTAATTCTACTTTTGTGATTAACTAGTATAATATTGAAAGAGAACAATCTATCTGTATTGGTGCTGAGTATTATCCAAAATTAAAATGTGTAATTCTTTTAAATTCCAGCTGAAAACTAAATACCTAAATTATAACAACGTAAATATTAGCTGTATTTTGTGATTCTAAATTCTAGTTTTTCCCTTGTGACTTCTCTGAATACAATGATCATTTGGGTGCGTAGTCATTAGTTTGTTTCTGATGGTAATTAATAATAACCATGGGCATACACATAAATTAGCTTTTATTACTCTCACTAATATTTTAATGGGCCGTGGTCTTTTGCATATAACTCGTAGTTATATTTAAGTATATTAAATATTTTACGGGAATTTAATAACCTCATACAGTATAAATTAGTTAAGTGTAACTAGTGTAAGAGTGAAACATCAATCAAATGGTTGAAAACTAGTAATCTATATATATGTATTACATAAATTCGTATAACGTTGTCCATAAAAGTAAAATGATAATATTTTTCATGAAATATGTGACTCTTTTGTATATTTTACATTCTGATTATTGTATCTAAATTCTAATAGGTATATAGATGAATTTTAATTTTAATGCATTTTATAACTGTATTGTTATTTTTTAATATTTTATTTAGATATAGGTACGCATTATTAGGATAAGTTTATAAACACAGAGTTAATAAAAATTATTCAATAATTCTGAGATTTATGATTCTAATTGAACTATGTGATGAACGTTATAAATACATTTGATATATATATTTATATTATTTTAAAAATATTAAAAACTCAATTCGATTTAAATGTATTATTAATGAACACAACGAATGCTTGGAAATAATACAACATCGACTTAGGTGCCTAACCTACTGGTGAATATAGTAGTAATAATTATAATAATAAAAATAATAATAATATAAATAATAATCATAAAAATGTATACATCGAAATTATCAAAAATTAAAAATATTATAATATATGACCAAATTATTATGATCCGTTTCGTGTATCTTAATGACATCGTTGTTCTATGTTGTTCGTATGCACACTTGACATCTACTGATGCGAGTACGACTATCGTCCTTCTTCAACGTTTGCCTCTTGGGGCTTGTGAACTGTTCATCAGGGTCGATGGTGGCCATCCAAAAACTCATAGTGTTAGCGAAATAATGGCACGTTCCTCGCGCCCCGTTACACTCGATGAATGGCGTGGCCCTAAAGTCTTCCAGACACGAACCCGGACTGGCTAGTGATTGACCGCCACCTTCCGCACCCGCGGCCGTGTGCTGCAATCAAACAGAAACAAACAATTACTACTGTAAAAGGTTTAGGTAATATGAACGGAAAATTGTGCCAAAAGTTGTGTACCTACCTAAGCTCACAAGAAATCAATTTAAAACCGGAGGTGCCTAAATCAGGTGTATATGACGATTTGTGTACCTAGTTCTGAGTCAGATTCTATGATAGTTCGATAATACGTATAAATAAGTAATACAATGAAGATTTCCATCTTTATGGATTTAGTTAATATCGACGTTTAGTATTTCGGGGAATAGTAAGCTCCTACAAACGTAGTTAACCATCCTAAATTGACACAGTGTTTACTCCTTAGCTAAACGGATGACATTGACTCTGATACTAGATAATATTTGCAGACTATGGGTACTAGCTTTTATTAAATGAAAGAAAGTTTAAAAAATAAATAACAATAGACAGTCAAATTCTTTTTTTTTTTTAATATCAGACTTGTAATATTATGATTAATTTATTATTACATATTTAAAATTCAATCAAATTATAAAAATAAAAAATAAAAATAATTATAAATTTAAAGAAAAACGGTAACTTTATTTTTAGTATTTTTTATTGGTGTAAAAATAATTTAGGAGGAATCTTGTATGAAATGTAAATTACTATTTTAACTATAACATGTACAATACTTGATCGATAAACATCACGTATTGAACTTACAAGTAATCGTATTTTCATGAAACTTATGAATTACAAATTTACACTCCTTTTTATACATGTATAATAATTATACATGTTTTATATCTGGTGCTTCAACTATAATAAATTATGTAAAATTCACGTTTTCCAATCAAATAACTTACACCTGTGTGTAAGTATATGTAATATGTAATATAAACTATTTAACAAGTTTATAATGATTTTTTTTCAAATTTCGTTCGACCGTCTGTTTTTTTAAGTACGTTCCGCAGTGCAAATTTAACGCAATACAAAATCTACCTGTTTCCAGTAAAAACTTACCATTACAAAACTGTATCCAATCCACAAACCTTCCCAACCATTAGGACAGTCAGGAATCGTTAAGGCCTGACTGTGTACGGCAATCACGTTGGCAGGAGCCTCGCATACGACACATCTATAAACGCATTACAAGGGAAAAAAATAAAAAATTATGATCATTAATCTGCAGCAATTATTTAATATCGATGAGAGTTTTTACCTGGAAATGTATTTTTGAATATCGCTTTCTTCAACTGGCATCATCGGTAACGGTGCATTGGTGCTGAGCCAATACGACTTGTCGTTTCTACTGGCGTAGTTGCATACGTTGTTAAAGTCACAGAACAAGAATGGCATGGTGGAGAACTTCCGGATACAAGAACCAGCAAATCCTGAAAACGATTAAAATTTGTAATCTCGACATTTCCGAATGTAAATTATTATTATTAAGTAGTAATAATCTAAGTATCTATATGATTATTATTTATTTAATACATGTACAGTACCTCTTTATTATTAGGTATGTTCCTATTACAGGTATAATAGATGCCATAGGTATAGGATAATATCAGGGCTTTGCACCGCAATCATTTTTTCGGGTTTCGGGTGTTGAAAGAAAATTCGGATGTTACAGGTTAATACCCTTTTCTGGTTACGGTTAAATGCAAATTTATTTGGGTTAATTATGGTTAATTCGGGTGTTAAAAAAACACACGTTGTATATCAATTAACATGAGATATTCAATGCAAATTTGATATAGTAATCTGATTTTACATAATGAAAAAAATTAAAAATTAAAAAGTTAAATTAAACATTAATACTTATTAATTATTAGTTTATTACTTAGTACTTATTCAGTCCTTTTTCTACAGAAGAAAGTTGTCGCTTATTACATATTTTAATTTTTTACAAAACGTATTTTCGTTATATTTATTTTTAATTAAGAATGTTAGACGACTCAATTACTATTGTCTATTATTGAATATTGTGAAATTTTTTACACAGCATTAAAAGTGAAGCTTTAAAAATATTGTAACTTGAAAAAAAAATAATTTAATTAACTTGCCACAGTTAATTATTTTCATAAACTTGCCCACTTTTTCAGACAGGTAGGGTATAAATGTAGCCCTCTACAGATAGGTACGACGACACCGATGGGCCGGATGTGGTCTCAGTACAGAGGGCATGAGAGGACAGCCGTTATCTCGCCGTCAAAGTTAAAAATATTTTCTAACTCGACATAAGTCCGAGCCGAGGACACGCGAGAGACCAAACACAAAATTTATACAGATAGCTACAGAGAGCCTTAGGGTCTGTACCGATAGTTCATATATTATATCTACCATGGAGGAACGGAAAACATCCCTTAATAATATTTTATTATTAGAGAGTACTATAAAATAATAACAATGATTAATATAAAAAGTTACCTAAATCTTGATTGTGGGCTTTTTCATTTCCTTCAATATATAACAAACTAAATCCATCCCAGAGTTGTGCGTGGTTTGGTTCGCATTGAGGTATCGAAGAACTTTGACTATGTTTTACCAATAAAATTCCAGTTGAATAATTTGGTTCTGATTCACAAGATTTACCAGGAACTCCGTCGTTTCCTCGTAGACCAGGTTGTCCCTGAATACACATTTATAAGTTTAGTATATTGTATATACAGCATTACTACATTAGTACGATTTTTATTTGGTGTTATGTACCTATCTTCATTTAATATTTAAAGTTTCCAACATTTCATGCTTTTTTTTAATTAATTTTGTAAAAACAATTATAATGTTGAATTGTAATCAAATCCTATAGTTTCCTCTTCAATACTAATGATATAGGTATTTAAGCTGAATTAAAAATACTTTTTAATAGCTAATTAAATAAAATAAATCGGGGTTATACAAAAAACTGATTTACTTTAATGATTGGAAAATATGATGGACGACTATTCCATTAGGTATAACAATTGATTCATTAAATGTTATGTGATTGTTTATTCGATTCAGCGAATAAGGAGTCCATTATTTTTATATACCTATATTTTAATAAGTATATATATATATATATATTATTTTTGTTTTATCTTAGAAGATAGAAAAGATTTTGTATAACTATGTAGAAACCAAAGCTAAATATTTTTGTGTAGGCAATATTATTAATTTAAATGTTTTCCTACATTTTAATAGGTATCTATATTAGTTTAATTAATTTCACCATACACACTTTTGTAATTACGATCTACAATCTACATAGTGTAAAAACAATAGGTACATATTATACCAAAAAAATATTGGTAATTATAGCATAACCTACCTGTAAGCCCGGAGGCCCTTCTATTCCCGGTTCACCCTTTTCACCTTCTGAACCAGGAGGACCAACTGGACCATTCAAACCAGGAACACCTAAATGTTAAAATAAAAATAAAATTTAATTTGTTCAGAAAGTTTAAAAAAGTTCTCTCCTTATATTTTACCCATATTTCCTTTTAATCCGTCTAAGCCAGGAAGTCCATCAGTGCCAGGATCTCCCTTTTCACCTGGCCAACCAACAGGTCCTAAATTAAAAATAATAAATTTAATTATAAGTTAAAATTGATTATAAAAGTATTATTAGTTAAAAATGTCAAAATATTTAAATGTATGTGAGATATTCAAAATTTAAAGTACCAGGTAATCCGCGCTCTCCTTTGGATCCCGGTGGAGGTGCCAAACCTGGTTCACCTTTATCACCTTTGATTCCAGAGATTCCAGGCATACCTTAACATAAATAAAAGTATCATGTTTAAAAATTGTTATCATGTATTAATAATTTTAGTTTAAAAATGTTTATTAATATTATGTTGTTAATCTATGAGGAACAACTAACAAGTATTAATAATTTGGTTTTTAATTTGTGGAACAAACCTAATTTTCCTGGAACTCCAACCATTCCTCTTTCACCTGGTAAACCTTGAACACCTTGTATTCCTTCAAGCCCTTAAATATACAAACATTTATTTCACTTTACTAATGTAAAAATATTATTAAATAATATATTAAATATTTGTGATGGTGGTAGATGTTAGCCGGTACAGAATATTGAATAGCCACGGAAATAGTCAAAGATCCATCTGTATCTTTTCATTGGTCTTATTCATTCATTTGTATTATTTAAAATTAGTTTAAATATATTTTGTTGCTTACCTGGATAACCTCTATCTCCTTTATCACCTTTAGATCCAGGATAACCTGGTTCCCCTGAAATTAAAATAATTAACTCATTGTAAACTAAAATCGATTCCATCGTTATTGATATTTCTACATGAAGTATATTATATTTATTAAGATTAAATTTAAAATTATGTACAATATTTACCTGCAAAACCTACATCACCCTTATCTCCTTTTTCACCATAAGGTGCGGGGTTTCCTGGTTCTCCTTTGAATCCTATAGTTAGATAACATATGTATTAATAATTATTTTTGGTTTTACAGCTATTAATACATATTATATTAAGACATTTGATGATGAAGAAATAAGTTACTTTATACAAATTAAATTATTAACTTATAAAGTTATAAGTATATTAGTTACCCATTAATCCTGGCGGGCCATCTTTTCCTGGTATACCCGGAAATCCGTCTGATCCTGGAGATCCAGGGAAGCCTGAAAAAATAATGTTGATTATTTAAGGTACATGAGAGATGGTTTTAATATATATGGACTTAACATTTTTCATTTCATGTATGAAATAAAATGTAATAGTATTTACTAAAATAAAATACTTAAGCTTAAACAAAATTGAACTATTTATAATAAAAAAAACATTGATTTAAAATCTCAATGAAAAATATTATGTCCATACTTTTTGTACACAGACGATCATAATAATAAATAAAATAATATTTGATGGTTCTATTTTACTATATCATAAAATATATTATTATATACCTGGTGGTCCAATCGCTCCAACATCACCTGGTGAACCGGGGAACTGAAAATATTAAAAATTCTATTCAAATAAATGAAATTACATTACTCATTACTAAACATAAATTTTAAAACTCATAAAACTGAAGGTAGGTAATTAAAAATTAATACCTAATTGTTAACTAATTCCTGCTGAAAGTTGAAGATTAATTTTAAAATAAACTAGGACAAATATAAGGCACATTAAAATAATAAGTATATACATACACCAACTGGTCCCACAGAACCAGGCAATCCTGGTAATCCTGGTAGTCCTTTGTCACCTGAAATAATAATATATCATAATTATTAATGTTGTTGTTTACCATTTCTAAATAAATATTGATAAACTGATCTACAAATATATCATTATAAAGTAAAAACATTTCGGATATTGTTGACTACCTATTGTAAGCAATATAAGCTAATGATTATACTCTGGGCCAGGAGAGGACCAAAACTCGTCTTTTTTCGCTCATACTCACCATTTTACCGGCCAGATCATCACCCGTCAGAGCGTGCCGGTGTCACCGGCGATTTTTACCCCCGGTAAAATATACAGGGGGGTAAAAATCGCCTGTTACACCGGAACGCGCCGGTTTCGGCGGCAGTGTGTACCATAGACCAGTGGCCTCATGGAGTGATAAATTTGGCTTTGAGACGAGACCGTCATTTGTGCAGGGTGCATTCTCTCGTGGCCCAGAGTATAGTGTTGATTACTATTACTACCTACCTATCTGCCAATATTTATTTTAATTTTTATCACAATATTATTAATATGATGTCATATTAGTTCATATAATCAATTCATATTTACAAATATTTCCATATTCTACTATAAATATAATGTAATTTTGTATACAATATTATTATTAATTAATAGATCCAAAACGGACTCTTTTTCATACTAAAAAGACTCATTTGCCATTCAAACAGTACTTAGTCAAATATGAAGATCAATCTAATAATATGATATGAATTTTGAAAACAAGTGAATTTTCTTGTTTTTTCTTCTATAAATCCTTAATAATAGAGCATTTTCTAATCAAAGTTTAAATTTAAAATTTAAAAATATTTAATATATTTTTGTATATGTAGTAACAGTTACCAATAGTAAGTACTAACAAGCGTAGTAATATTTTTACATTAAAACTTCTATAGTTAACTAATTGTAAAACATTTTTACGTTGTTAATTACATTATCAATATACCTAATATATAGGTACCATGTACCTCATTTATTATTTATTAATTGATTGTTTTGTTTGTATAATATTAATAATATTGTCCTATAATCCTACAACATGTTTAAAATAATTTGGTTAAATTACCAATTAAAAATAAACTATATTTCTAAATGTTTTACCTTTCTCTCCCGATAATCCAGAAAGTCCATCTCTGCCATGTTTACCCAATAATCCTAAATAATATAACAAAATTAATTAAGACATTTTGTAAACGGATTAAAAGTTTATCGTTAATAAAAAATAAAAAAACTTAAGAATTTAGTTAGACCATATACAAAACATTCGATATAACATAATATTGTTGTTTTGACTATACTTTGTATTAATTTACCTGGTAATCCCTTTTCTCCTTTGACTGTTGTTCCGGGAATGCCTGGCAGTCCTTGAGGACCAACATTACCTAAAATATACGTGAAAAAATGGAAGAATTTAATAATTTAAATATTTTTTTGCTTGCAAAATTATATTTGTTATTATTATATACCTTTTTCGCCTCTTGGACCAGAAGGACCCGGATAACCAGTTGCACCTGGTATTCCCATGTCACCCTTTTCTCCTTCAATTCCAGGTGGTCCATCAAGTCCTGAACAGTAAACAATTTACATTATTTATGTAAAAGTAAAAGAATACTTTATTCAGTTAAAATATTAATAGAGAAAGTAAATTAACGTATAATTTATCAAAATCTTTATTGATTAATTCCAAAACTTTTAGGATAAAAATTATTCTTACCGACGGGTCCTGCTGAACCAGGTATTCCTGGAAAACCTGGTGGCCCTGGTTCACCTTTATCTCCTTTAATATCAACTGCAGGACCTGGTAATCCTCGATCACCTAAAATGGATTATACAAAATTAAAATTAAACATAAATAATATTAACCCATTTTATGATACATAAATCTCTGATAATATAATGTTAGATTACCTTTATCTCCCATGGGTCCTCTTAATCCATTTGGTCCAATTAATCCTAGATAAATAAATCAAAAATTTAATATTTTTACATGTCATTAAACATGTTATTGTATATAATTATATCAATTTTTAAAACCAACATTGAAGAGCCACTAATGGGCTTATTTAATCATAAAAATTATGCCTGTTGAAATCAAATATAAATCAAATATTTTTAATGTGCATTGTTATCCTAATAAGCTAAGCATCAAAACATTAGCATATTAAGTAAATTCTTTGTCTTAATTAAAAAAAAAAAAAACATGTAATTCTCATAAAACAAATATGTTAAATAAATGTTCTAATGCAATTTCTTCATAATTATAGTATTAACTATTAATATAATCTGGAATCTGATACCTGGTAATCCTCGTTCTCCTTTCTCTCCGTCTAATCCTGGTATTCCGGGGTACCCAATGTCCCCCTTTTCACCTTCTTGTCCAGGAATTCCTGGGTAACTAAAAATAATAAAAAAAATTATTTTTATAATAAATTATTTGTTGTAAAGCTGTAAATACTAAATTAATTTTTAATTATAATATATTTTTACTATACCCTGCACTGCCTTTCATTCCGTCTAAAGCATCCATTCCCGGAGGCCCTGGTGTTCCTGGAACTCCTCGAGGTCCCTTTTAAAAATAAATTATTCTAGTGTCAACAATTATTCTATTTGATCGAAAAATTTATATGCTCATAAATGTATCCCTTGAATATAAAGCATACTTAAAACATACTATTCTTATATTATATTATATTATATGTATAATTTATAATATTTTGTTTATGTATAGGTTATTATAACAGAGATTATTAATAGTGTATAATCACTATCAATAATCTATGCTTATTTCAAATTATTATATTATAAAATTATAATTATCATATACACTTACCGTGTCACCTTTCATTCCTGGAACACCAGCAACTCCAGCAACTCCTTTTTCACCATCATTTCCAGGCCGTCCATCATATGCAGGCGTACCGGGTTCTCCCTGAAAGATACAACATCAAATTATATTGTTAAATAATGTAATAAAGATATAATAACGATTAAACGTGTGATAAGTTAGGCTAATATAGGATTTTATTTATAATTTCGGTTTTTCGGTATAGGTACCGTTTTAAAACGGTATTGAAATCAATACCGTAGTATAGAAAAGCTCAGTGCAAACTAGAGTCTAAGAAATTTTATAATAGCTGTATCAGGTACAAAGTCTATAGGTACAAAGTACCTACGTAGGTTCTCTCTAATACAAAATATTTTTGGGACATTATGCGTAAAAGTAAAGGTGGTAATTCCTTTCCTGAGTCTGTTAAGCTTGGTAATGTCTTCTGGTCTTCAGTGAAGGAAGGCGTAATACTATTCTCCGAAAATTTAAACTTTCAAGTCTGTCTTTTTCTTGTCCACTCCAATTTCGGATAGTGGTTTGTCCACCGTTAGTGAACTCTGCTTTGACTTGCCTTGTATTGTTCATATTAGTCTCAATGGAATTGTATTAAGTTTAGCTTGGCTAGTCAAAGTTAAAGCAGTTGGTCTTGGTGTATTTTCTGACTATCCATGATAAGATAAATTTTCTGTTACCCTCTTTGGTTGGTTTTTTGGAAATCTATGATTGAAGGAGTTCCTAATACATGCAAAGTAAGTTCAAAAACTCCTATATTTAAATCTAATGACGTCACTAATTATAGGCCAATCTCAGTTATAAGTCACATTGCCAAAATGGTTGAGTCCTTGGTATATAACTCTGTCCAGAGATCAGTAAACAATATTATAATAAATAAACGCTTGGGTTTGTTGAAAGAACTTCATTGGATTTCAAACTTTTTACTGTTAATTTGTGCGTGCTCACTTGGAATATAGGGTAGTAATATGAAATCCTAGTACAATATTAGTGACTACTATAAGGTCGAGCGTGGTATCGGAAATTCTTAAAATATGCAGCACATGTCCTACAGATTGATTGTCCGTCGCCGGTACTTCAAAGGCTCAACCTGTCTACCCTAGCAGATTAGCGGAATCAACCATATTTTCTTTTTCTGTGTCAATTAATTGATTTAAGTCTTGGTAATCTTGACTTGCTAGGGACTGTCAATTTTCATGTCCCTGTCTTTGATTTCAGCAGAGTACATGCTTTCTCTATCCCTTTTGTTCTACCACTTTTCTTCTATTAATTTTTCTTAGTTATAGGTATAATAGATAAATAGATTACTGTGCCTAAATACGTTGTGCCTACTCAAAATCACTTCAATATATTTTAGTTTATGTATAAGTATTAAATAAACTCTAAATATTATAGATAACTAGCTGTCCCGTACGGAGTAACCCATGCAAAGGTTTTTTTTTAAACGCGATTATATACAACAACTATTATTATAGTCATTATACCTACTACAGTTGTGACCAATATTGAAATAGGCCGCCATTTACAAAACAGGCAATGCTTACATTTATTTTATATTTATTTGTATACATATATATTTATCTATACATATATACTATGATAATATTATTTTGTAAACATTGCCTGCTTTGTAAATGGCGGCCGACTTCGATGACAAGAAGGAGACGGCTATTTAGTTGTTGTGTATATCTATGATTCAATCAGCCCGATCTTCCTTTGGGTGATAAAATATAAATAATTAAAAACACAGTTCGCTGCACTCCTGAGTCGTGTACATTCACTTTATGTTGAAAAGAGACAACGTTGTCAGTAAAATTCTTATAGTATAGATAAATAATATATCATATTAAACCTCAGTAGGGGGAGGGGGGAATTGTTTTGTTGTACCTACTAACGGTAATATAACAGCTAAGTTACATAGGATGACATAATGTGAACACATTTAAGAAAAATTAATACATTTATCAGATAAAACGGTTGCCGAATTTTTTTTCTGCCAGTTTTAAATCTATTAGGTAAGTAAATTTACCTTTTGTCCTGACCATCCTTGTAATCCAATACCTGGGAATCCAATGTCTCCTTTCATTCCGGGTAAACCTGTAAATTAAATTAATAATATAATTACTACTATAACCTTAAGATTCACAAATCGAATACTTTGTGAATAATAAAATAAATATTATATTCCAATTCAGGGTGCGGACAATTTAAATATAATACAATCAATTTAAATTATAAAGTCTTTCAAATTGTATGGTGTATTATCATGTTATATATAATATATAGGATACATTTAAATTGTAAAATAATCATATCTAATAATAATTATAATCTAGAATAATTTAGTATTTTTAGTTAAAAAGGTGAAATTAGTGAGGATTTTTGAAATTAAAATGGGATTCTATATTTTTCATTTATAATTCATACTCAGTTTAATTTTTAATTTATATATAAAGATCTATTACACCATTATGTGTCAATATTTGAAGGAGCAAATTATATTTGAGTTTTGTTTTTTATGCTTTCAAATATCAACACTCAACTGTGAACGTAATATAGTATTAATAATAGGTACCTAAACCAATCCTAACGTGCAGGCTATAGGTACCTACTATCTGCCCACTTTTTGATAGTGAAGTATCACAAAGAAGATATTGAAATGAATGCATATTTCATGTGGGTTAGTAGTGACTAGCTACTTCTAATATTAACATGATATAATGATATCTATTTTTGGCAATATTGCATTTTTCTATTTAAATAATAGGTATTTCTTTTAAAAACGTGCATCAATATTAAATATGTTGGACATTGGATCAGTATTTTTTTTAATCTTTGCATAGATGTTTATACCTATATTATATTCTCATACTATTAATATCTAATTACTTTATCCAAATTCAAATAAATATCGGTCATAGTAAAAATAACACTTTTAACAAGTAATAACCATTCTGATGCTTAATTTGTTGTTTTGAATAGGTGTTCCTTATTAGTAGGATATTAGCTAATTACTTTAAACAAAAGTATTACAAATCGATGGAATACGAATTTATATGTTACTGGAATAACAAAGAATGTGATTTAGCAAAGTACAGTGAATATTAAACACTCCATAAATTTGCATCAAAGACGAAATACTCCAAAATGTATGACCTCACAGTGCTTTTACCTTAAGGGTGTTAGAATCAATTTATTTTTGGTGCAAAATAAGACTTACATGAAAAACTTTCATGATTCATGAAATAGTCAGATATCAATAATTGTTTTTATTTACAAACGCAGGGCACATTGGTTTTTAATTTTAAAAACAAACATTTTCGTAAGTTGTAATTAATAATAAAATAGGTAATAAACGTATATTCATCACTAAACTTTTATTATTTAAATAATACATATAGTTTGTATTTGAATTAATATAGGTATCAGTATAATATATATAGACATATTATATTGTGTCCATGATAACTAGAAACACTCTATATATATATCTATTAATTAGTCATTTGAGCTTAGTAAGATAGCATAAATATGAATATTATTTAGTATATTAATGAACAAAAACAGTTCCGGAAAGAGCCATCGAGTTACCTAGTGTAACATAGTGGGCCAAACTATATTTTAGTACATTTTGTATTCAACTTACCTGTCTTAACCCAATTTAATGGGTTTTGAGCTAGTAAAAGTGCTAAGCCTCGATTGGCCGGTATTTACCCTATCCGGCTCTGAACAAAAAAACCCACTTAATATTGAATAATTTTTATTTACCATCCATTCCTGGTAGTCCTTGTGCTCCTCTGAGACCGGATTCACCAGGCTCTCCTTTCTGTCCCTTTTCTGATACTGGACCGGGTTCTCCTTTTAAACCCTATGGTATGTAAAAAATGTAAAACTAAAATTTACCATATTTTCCATTATAAGTCACACATAATTTTAAAACTTTTAGGAAAACGTCTAGTTATAGCATATACATTAAATAGTAAATATATAATATCTGGAATGATTGTCTTCAGTTATAATAAAAAAATTATAATTTACCTGTAATCCTAAAGGACCTCGGTCACCCATAGGACCTGGCAAACCACGTAATCCAGTTTCACCAGGGGGTCCAGGAAAACCTATATCCCCCTTTTCACCTGAAATTCACAATGATAATGATTAAAAACTATAAAGAGGAATTACAATTTAAATTATACAAAAATATTAGAAAAAAATTCCTGTTTTTAATTTATATTTGTGTCTTACAAGAATTTAAAATATTTTTTTTCTTTAATAAATTCTATAGATTCTATTGACGCTTGTATATGCAATAAATTCTAATTAAGAGGACGTCACATCCGCATGTATTGTGTAAGTCTTACAAATGTACAACATACCAAAAACTGTTTTGATAATTTTTATATTTCTGTGTTTGTAGTAGTGGCTTCAAAATGTCTATAGAAAATTATCTATGCAACAGCTTGCCTATATTTTAGATAGGTACCTACTTAACATTAATACAAAAAAAGTTATTTGCTTCTAAGTATTTCGTTTATTTGTTTTTTTCATTTGCTTATAAAAAATGATTGGATAGTGCTATTAAAAAAAAAGCACGCTGTTGCACAGATAAAGTTCTTCTTTAAGTATTGTGAACATTTGGTAGTTCTACAACAAATATTATGGTGCGAGAAAAATTGTCCCGCACAAAACAGTTTTTGTTATGTTATACATTTGTATGACAGAAACAACACTTGCGGGTGTGCGTTCTCTTAAAATGGAACCTAAAATAACAACACAGACATATAGGTACATATTCCCTAACAAAATAATAATTTGTTTTGGAAATATGTAATACAGTCGAGTCTCTAAACTTGAATTTTTTTTGTCCTAGGAAATAGGTTATGTATATAAAAGGTTATGTAACTCGATAAATACATTAATTTTACGAATTAATTTTTATCTCCCTTGACATTCGAGTTATCGAGACTTGACTGTATATTAAAAGTACTTTAATACAGAATAATGCATTCTAAAATAGAAACATACCTCTATATCCTTGTGGTCCTGGCAAACCATCTTCTCCTGGTGGCCCACTGATTCCAGGTAATCCAGTATCTCCTTTATCACCCTTTTCTCCTACAAATGTAAATAAAAGTTTATTGAATATAACTAATAGGTAGAATTTTAATTAAAAAACTTGTCAGTTAGTTGAATTAAAAATTAAATGTAACCATAATATAATTGAGTAAATTAAATTTATATTACCTGGCATTCCATCGATTCCAGGTTTTCCGAATGCTCCTATAAACAAAAAGATTAATATCGGCAAAATAACTTTTCAACAAGGATATAGTTATGAAGTTCTGAATACAATTAAATAAAAATGTAATAGGTATAGTTCTAGTTATGACTTATTATCACAGATTCTGAGCATAGCGAAAGAATGTATTGATTTTAAAATGATGTGTTCTTTTTTCTATCTAACGTCATCAACGTTTGGGACAGTAAAAATACTCCGATTTTCTATTTCAGCAATTTTTCTGATAGGAAAGTGAATCTACATGGCTCTTCAGAGAGGTAAAAATTTAAAATTCTAAGTAATTTTCAAAAGCGTCAGGAAAAAAATTAAGGAAAATGTGAATTTTTTTGAAATAATCAATTTTATATTCTTGGTCGAACTCAAAAACTTATAATCTCAGATATGCACTGCAAATTTTCACCAAATGTTAATATGAACATTTTCCATAAATAATAAGTATCTAAATTAAAACTTTTAAAAATTGTTGAGCTATATTTCTAGCCTTGAAAATTTTTTTAATTTTCTAAATTTTTTTACCTATAAATATTATCAATTAAAAACATTTTGCTAATTAAAAAAGCTTGAAAATGTAATGCAAGGTTTCCTGTGAGTTAATTTGATAGTTGTTAAAAAATATAGATACATAGGCACTATGATTTATCATTGAATTCAAATTTCACACTTCCATTATAATGACATACTCGACAACTACTGTACAGCCGTACTTACAGGAGAGCGGTACCCACTTGTCCACCATTCTTTGTAAATATTTAGTGTCAAAATATTAAGACAATAAAAACATATCATTGAGTATAAAAAAATTAACAAATAAAACTGATGATTATTGATCAAAACGGATTTCCGTAATAATTTCACCATTTTTTTCACAATTCTCTCTATTACGAATGCGAAGTTCCAAAAACAACTAAAAGTACCTACTAGAATCCATTTTTTGTGTCTAATTCAATATTATAGTTCTTCAAATTCTATATTTGATTACCTAAGACATCAAAGCCATCTTTTGTTGATTTTATAAGTGTAAAAATATGTAGGTGCCTACTTAACAGCATTTAATAAACAATAATAACCATATCAAATCATATCATAATTTATATATTAATAACAACCTACTTGACATTAAAATAACGAATAATAATAGGTGGTATATTAATGATATTAATTTGAAAATCAACTCAAATATTAATGAGCCTATATCATTTTATTTACCTGGCATTCCTCTGAATCCTGAAAATCCTTTAGGACCTTCTGGACCCGTTGGTCCGGTATCACCTAAAATGAAATGAATTTAATTTTAGGTAAAAAAGAAAATACATGATAAATTATTATTCATAGGTACTTAAACAAGAATATCTTAATCAAATTTCATATTTCAGAAATTAATTTACCTTTTGGTCCAGGGAACCCTTGCAGTCCTTGTCTACCTGGCTCACCAGGTAATCCAGTTTCACCTAACAAACGAAATTTTTATTTATAATCAATTACAATGAATTACAGAAAAAAAAATATAACTATGATTAGATTAGAGTATGTTATGCATTTATTATCATGTTATGAAATTTTGAACCCCTCAGTCAATACCTTGACCTGCATTCTTGAATAGGTACTTTTTTGAAATATTAATCTATAATATAATGGTATTTATGTGTAAAGCTTTAACTTGGTATACATCTATTGTAAAGTTTTAACTATCCCTTTTATAATATTAAAATTTAGCATTATGTTGATTGATTCATCGATTAATATTTAAGATGTATCGTAAATAATAAATACAAAATATAACATGAATGTTCTCAACGGTTTGTTCCATAGGTAGGTAGGTATTAAAAATGTCACATACGTAAAAATAATAAAACGAGTTGCGTTGTACTAGATAATACGTTAATAAATTGAGCATGATATTCGAGCATTTATGTTACTCTTAAAAGTTCACCATTCCATTGTAAACATTTGCTATTGATAAAGCCAGTAGGTAATATTATAAGAAATTATGGATTTTATTTTGGAGTAAGAATTCATCAAACTATTACCTTTTGGACCATCTATACCAGGTAGGCCATCATTACCAGGGGGTCCACTTGGTCCAACAGGGCCTGTTGGATAAAAATTAAATATATTTTATTATAAAAGATTTTTAATGTATTACTTTTTAAGATTACTCACCGGGTTCACCCTTGGTTCCTGGCTGTCCAGTCAATCCTTCTAAACCAGGTTCACCTGAATGAAAACACAACAAATTTAAAAATTTAAAAATACGATACAAATGCCCAAACAATTAAATTTAAATTAAATTATCTAATATGATATTACCTTGATTTCCTTTTTCACCAGGCGATCCAGGAGTTCCTAAAAATTCATGTTAAAAAAAATATAAAAAACTGCATTTAAATATTCTATTTTATATCAGATAATATAGTCAAGTATTTGAACTATCTTCTACATACCCGGTTCACCGGACAGTCCTGGTCTTCCAAATGGCCCTTGCAGACCTGATCAAGGTTAAATAATTTATTATTATAGTTGATATTATATTGTAGAAAAAATAGTGATTGAATAATCTTTTTAATTAGTATATTTTATATTAGTTAAAATTACCTCTCTCGCCCTTTTCGCCTGGAAATCCTTCTGAACCCTTTGGCCCAACTATGGGTATACCAGGTTCACCTTTGACTCCTAAAAAAAATTGAATTCATACAAAGTTAATTTGTTGCGTATCATTAATCCCCATTTAAAAAAATGTGTCGGTCATTACTCGTTTGCGCATCTCAAGTATTGAAAATATATAATAATAGTAGTCAGTATTAGTTATATTACGATAATACATCAATGATGCAGCATTATATCTCAGGTTCAAAAATGTTTATATTTAAAAAATAATTACAGTTTACTCCCTATTATCCGTGGAATAGGGTGGCAGGACATCCACGGATAAACGAATTCCACGGATAATCCGCAAAATTAAATTTTATAATAAAAACTAAATTGGAAATTGAAATTGAAAATTATTATTACATATTTACAAATGTATTATTAAAAATCGACTATCGCAGCCCAATTTAACCGATAATGATGTACAATGTACATTGTACATTCGAGGGTTTAGTATTTAAGGAACATAACATAATGTGTATCAATAAAAGTACATACACGTGTATTAATATTAAATAAGCGTATTTTACGTCGTTCTCGAGTTATCGGCTATGACAAATTCACAACCCAATCCCAATTAAACCTAAAATGATTTATAATGGAAAGATACAATACGTATATATTTTTTTGTATACATATAGGTATGTAGACGATTCCGTGGAAGACAGCGGATAATCGAGAGTAAACTGTAAAATCACTTTAAATAATTTTATATATTATATATTTTTTTTTTTGTATGATTGACCAATTACTGAATCTATTTAATTTGATTTAAATTATTTTAAAATGTTTGTTTAAGAATAGTTATGAAAAATAAAGTACAAAAAAAAAATATGAAGCTATTTGTAACAATAGATATGCGCAAACGCCTTAGGCTCAATTTTTATATTATATACATTATATATTATTTATAATATATTTATTTTGTGGTGCCCATTTTTGGAGTTAATTTTTTATATGATAATATTATGTAGCTTATAGGATAAGTTATTTAAATAAGAATAGATAATTATTATTTTTTAAATTGTTATTAAAATCTGGAATTGGAGGTGATATATTAAGATGATGAAGTTAATTGTGATACTTGAATCAATTGATTAATCTTGAGGTAGAACTTAGAACTATTTAATTATTACTTCTTGGAATCTTGATTTTAAATTAAATCAATTTATCATCAAACATCCCAATAAGAGTGTATTAACTACTCATAGTATCAATTTCTGTTTAGCTTAAATTTTACATGAAGTATAATACAATGTTTTAACTGTTAATACAGTTCATATTTATAAATTAAATTTTTTATAACCACCTTTAGGTGAAGATAATCCTGGATATCCTCTTTCTCCATCACGTCCAACTTCACCAAGGAAACCTGAACATAGATAAATAAAAAAATATAATATACTACCATAATTAACTAAGTAATTTATTTTCCACATTAATTAAATAATTGCCAGTGTTAAATGTACATAATATACTAACCCATTGGTCCAGTATTTCCTTTTTCTCCGCGAATACCTGGCTGTCCTCTGGGGCCCACAAGACCTAAATAAAAGTTTTATGTATTGGTTAAGAACATTTATCATTATATAAGATACAGAATACATTAATGTACATAATCATATTATTAGGTGTATCACCACTTTAGGTTACTCACCTGGAATTCCTCTTGGTCCTACTGGTCCTGTTAAGCCCTATTAAATAAATAGTTTTTGCATTTTTAAAAAGCATTTGATTTGAAGATCAAACTTTTAAATATTTTAAATTGTGATTATAAAAATCCTTTATTAATTGATAAAATACTTACAATTGGTCCTATTGATCCCTTTTCTCCCGGATAACCTATTATGAATAAATAATTAATGGTAGGTAGTTGAAAGCAAATTAAATTAAAATGCACTAAATCAGTTACTTACCATCAATACCTGGTGTACCAGGTTCACCTTTTTCTCCTTGACTTCCAGGTTCGCCCTTTTGGATTTTCCCAATATTCATGATTTCGCAATTACCTATTGTTTATATATTTACTTAGTATTAGACAAGAGGAAATGATTAAAATATATAAATATTTTTAAATGCATAATGTATATTAAGATTATGATAGTAGTAAAATATAATATATCAATTAGGTACTTAAAAAAAATGTAATTAATTTATACTCATAGGTAGGTATTATTTATTATACAATATATAAATGTAAATGTATTATAATATTAAATAATATAATATATTATAGGTGAATTGTATTTATATTATTAACAGACTAATGCAAGTATGATGGGTCTCCCTAGATAATTTTTAAATGAAATTATAATATTATTCATAAAATACCTCAGAAATACAAATCCTAATATTCATAAAATATTTCAACAATGTTAATTATAAAACTCACAGTTATTTTGAGATAAATCTTAAATGTTTCATAATGTTATAATAAAAATTAACTAACCAGGAGTTCCTTTTTGACCCGTTAATCCAGGCTCTCCTTTATCTCCTCTCATTCTATAACAATTAAAACAAAATTTATTTTAAATTCAAATAAATAAAATTAATTTTAACAATATCAAATATACCCAGGTCTTCCGAGGGTTCCTTGTTCTCCTTTAATGCTAATTCCTTTTTCTCCTTTGGATCCGAGATATCCTGGTTGTCCTGTAAATTAATAAAAAACCGTTTTAGGTATGATTCATTTTTGAAAAATTATTCAATAGTCAATATATGCTATTTACCTGGTGTACCATCAGAACCTGGGAATCCTCTGTCACCCTAGTGATTAAAAGAAAGAGATAGAGTTATATATTTGAATCAATGTTATATATTTTACATCAAATTTAAAATTTAAAATTTATAATAATAATATGAGACTATTGTCGTTACAATTAATATTAAACATATGTTTTCTGTGCTTCATGTTTATATTTTAGTAACTTATCTATGCTTTAAACTTTCAATTTCCATTAATATCCTTGTTACAAAATAAAATTGAATTGAATATTTAATACAAGGAAGTTATAACTTGGATAAAAATGAAAAATAATAACTTAAGGGGACAACAATTAAAGGTTTTTGACATGGTACTTACTTTTTCTCCATTTATTCCAGGTAATCCATCCATACCTGGTTTTCCCTCAGGCCCGTTTAGTCCATCTGCTCCTCGTAAGCCATCCCTAATTTATCAAAGTATATAAAAAATGTTACATAACTTCATATTTTATATTTTATTTTATTCAATCATACATGAAAAACAATGTTACCACATGTATTTCCAAACAATTTTTATTTTTATGTATTAAAAATTATTTTTTATATTAGTTTAAATTTATTTAAGAACTTATGTCTACTAAGCATATTTAGCTTTAAGAGAACAATAATATTCAATTTTAATGTACACTATTATGTACCTAATAACAAAATAATAAATATAAGAAAAGTAATATTAAAATAAAAGACACGTTTTTTTTTTTTTTTTTGTTTGGAATAATGTGAGTAGATAATAATTAGTGGGATTATTCATAAATCATTTTAATATAGATGTTAATAATATTTTTTTAAATGTCACCTATTTATGAACATATGGAATTTGCCCACTTAGTTTCTTGCTTTTTAAAGATTTTTGATAGTTTCAAAAGAATGTAAATCATTTTTGGATAAGATTTTCTTACCTAAGTACCTTCTGGTATCATTAAATATAAGTATGTTCTAGCAAACTAGTATTTATAATCAATGGTTCTATGTAATAATGTTATTACCATACTTATTTTAGATTCTGGCGTAGAGATAAATGTAGGTATTGATTTTACAATAATTTTATTTTATGTATCTGTCATCAACATTTGGAGAAGTAAATATGCATCAATTTTCTACTTCGTTATCTTTTCTGGTAGGAAAGAGGGTCAGAGGGTTAATTGTAAAAAAAAACAGACCAATTTCCAAAAGCGTAGGAAAAACAAATTAAAACTATGAAAAACATGAGTAGGTATTTGACAAATTTAATTTGGTGTTTTTGGTGTACCTTAAAAACGAATACTTTATATATTTTTAATTTTCACCTAATGTTTATATGACCATTTTACAAATATGATAAAACTGTTTGGCTCTTACTGACCTATTAATAGGCATGAGAAATTTTGGATGTGTTTTAGTTTTTTTTCATTTATTATCGATAGATATTTTTCGCTTTGTCAAAACACTTAAAAATGTAATAAGATTTCTCATAGGTTTTATTAATATAACTTAAAGAAAAAACTTGAGAGTAAATTCTCAATATTTTTTGATGAGAGACTGAAGTTATAATTTTCACAAAATTTTTCAAAATCACAAAAATGTACAATTATACAGAGTTAGAAATTCATAAACATTTTCTTTTTTGTATCTACTTTTTAAAAATTTAATTTTCCTCATATATTTTTCTGACTAAAAAAAAAAAAATCTTACTAAGAATCTCAACCAAATATTTTATGAGCATTTTAAGTTATGATTTACTCTTTAAAAAACCATTTCTCATCGAATGATTTTCTTATTAATTTGTTATTCAATAACAAATAACCGTAAATACTTGACATTTTCAACAAATGTTTATTTTATCAGCTCAGAATCGTTTTTTTTGTATACTATTATTTTGTATCATTGAATTCAACTTACACACATCAATTGCAGTGACCCACACGACACCTAATGTACAAAAGAGTACTCGTCTACCTTTCATTTAATAATAAAATTCAAAAAATTACCTTCCAGGATCTCCACGAGGACCAGGTTCTCCTTTTTGAGTATATGACCAACTAGCAGGTATTATTGCATTTGCGCCTTTTTCACCTGGCGGACCAACTTCGCCCTGTGCACCATCTACTCCCTAACAAATAATCATAAATATTATTCCAATGCAATAATTTCATAACCATGTTAGTTGTCTAAGATAAATGCCAAGTCCAAAGATATAAATAAACTCTTTAATCAAAAGGTCACATAATAACATTTTTAAAAGGTAGGTAATTAATAAAAACTATATATTATTATGATATGTTTCATACTAGGTATTTTAGCCCATACATATCTATTTAAAGCAGGTACATGAAGTTACAGCAGTAGAAAGTACATGCTGTGTATCTGTTAAATATTCTAATAAAACTGAAAGTGTATTGTATATTTTAAAATTTGACAGAACATCCTGTTAGATAGGTAACATGCCCAGAGTAATTTCTTAAATACAATTTTCCTGTATCATAAATATTTAAGTACTTACAGCAGCACCAGGTTCACCAGTTTGTCCGATTAATCCATCAGCGCCTGGCTCACCCGGATATCCTATTTCACCGGGTGGCCCTCGTGGTCCCTATGAAACAAATTATGAATTGTATTTTTTTGTGTTTTCAATTAATTACAACAATATTTTGTATGTTTCTAAAATGTACACATGTTTTGGATATGGAATCAATGTTATATTATATAATGATGTTTTCTAAAGATTTATAGAGATTTATATAAGTATTACCTTCAACCCTGGAGTTCCATATAATCCAGGTTCACCTTTAGTACCTTTTTCTCCTGGACTGCAGCCTTGACAACGTCCACCTATTTCACCTTTTGGCCCATCTCGACCTATAGTTAGTACAATGTTACATTAGTTTAAACTTTAAAGATAAATCAAAGAAGAATGGTTAATAAATTATATAGATAAGTTAATTATAATTATAAAATAGAAATTGTTTTTCCATTAAATATAATGTCATGATTTACCTGGAATTCCTGGGATTCCTGGTCTGCCATCATCACCTTTCTCCCCAGTAGCACCCCTAACACCTGGTGGCCCAGCAATACCAGTTGGCGAATCACCTAAAAATAATTTCAATTTGTAATATTATTATTAATGATTCAGTTATAAGACATTTTTCATATGATATGTTTCTCAATTATGCTTACCTGGAGACCCTCGTTCACCCTGATAACCACGTTCTCCTTTAAGTCCTTTTTCACCATCTCTTCCATCAACACCATCAAATCCTTTAGGACCCTATTCAAATAGAATTGTCTCATATATTACGTTTAGGTATAAAAATATATATATTTATAGTTTATATGATCCATATTATTATTTACTACATTTATCCGATGGAGTTAAAACAATTTGAAATTAAAACTCATTAATATAAGGTAGTAAGATTATTATTTATTATAAGGAAACTCCTTTCAACATAGTTAATAAAAAAAAAAAAAAAATAATAATTACAGTTAATACTCACGACAATTGAAGCACCCTTTTCACCAACAAATCCTCGAGGTCCAGGTGGGCCTTGTGCGCCAGCAAAACCTATAGGTATATAAATTGTGATGTAATTAAAATACAATCGATTTTTAAATTGCTATTATACTCCTTGATACATTTTGTCCGATAAACTAGGCAACTTAATAATTTATAGTAGGTATACAATAATTGTGATTTAAAGTCAAAACGTGGAAAAGGTTTAGTTAACATTTTTTTTAAACTTTTTAGTGCTCACAAACTATTTTCCAAAATTCACAATTGGATTAAACATATTGCAATTTGATAACATATAATAGTTTATTTATTAATTTGACCATAATTCAATAACAAGTTAACCCAAAATATATTAGAAACAATTAAGAGCTAAGTTTGTATTTATTCTAGGACAAAGAAATAATATTTATAGTAATTGTTAATTAATTTAACTACCTCTTTGACCAGATTCTCCGGGTAAACCTGCAAAACAAAAAATTAAAATTAGGTACTTAGTTGATTTGTTAAAGTTTATAAAATTGAATTTATGTATAATATAGTTCCAAAAAAATTCAAAATATTTAGAACGTGAATAAAAATAAAATATACATGCCTGTAAGCCCTGGTTCTCCTTTTGTTCCTTTTTCTCCTTGTAAACCTTCTAGGCCTATATATCCTGGTACTCCTAAATATTAGAAATGTGTAAGTTAAAAATACGTCTGTTAAAATGTCATTACTAAATTTAGGTTAAACCAAATAATTCATTGAGCCCAATAAAAGTAATGGAACTATTGATAATTGGAAGTTACTTAAATAAAAATATTGATTTCATGTTACGCCATTTTTAATGACATATGTTTATTATTTAGTATCATTCTTATACTGTAAAAAAAACACACACCTTGACCTCCAATATTTCCTTTTGGACCGGGAGGACCAGGTTGGCCGTCAATACCGTCTAAGCCTTTTGGACCTGAAAATCAGTAGATTGATATGAACAATGATTGTTAATATATATTATTTCATAAACATATAACATTACAGTATTTATGATACATTGATACTCAATTTTTATTTTTTATGAGATTTTTTACCGAACGATTGAGCAAATAATAAAAAGGCTTATGATATTCATATTGTCTATGTTAGTTCTATTGTTTTTGCCCTGTACTCAATCGGGTCGTGAAAAAGTTAAATAGTCAATCTGGTATCTGCAACTTAAAACAACTAAAATAAATAAACATACCTGTAGGTCCAGGGTATCCACGCGGTCCTTGAGGTCCAGGCAGACCTGGTCTGCCTTTTCCACCCTGAATACAATATTTAATTATTTCAAAATGTAATTTGTTGTACCATCATAATATAGGTACTCTTATAACTTGTCATTTATAAATTAATGACCAATTTAGCAAATATTAATTGTAGTACCCTAAGTAGGTTTCTATACTCTATTCAGGATAGGAGTGGTACCCGGCGGCGGTCAGATGCTTCTCTCACCAAGTCCACCACCAGGTTGACATTCCAAACATAGCCACGCCCTTGTGCACAAGTCGGCCGCCTGGTTCCTTTCTTATTCTGAATAGAGTATATTATAGTCTATGTTTTTTTCAAAATCATAACATGAAAATACATTAGAATTTAAAATATTAGATGAATCAAAAATAATATTTAAAAATATTCTTTTTTAGTTAAACTTTATCTAAAAATAAAATATACCCCTGGTTGTCCTTGAGGTCCTCGCAACCCAGCTGCTCCTGGTGCACCATCCAATCCTAATAAAAATATGAAACAATGATAATATTAAAATTGTATAGAAGATTTTTTTCACAAATGAATTATCTTAATATAGATTTGCTCCATAGTTTAATTTTTATATTCATCATTAAAATTAATAAACTTGTTACACAAATATAATACAATTACGATTTTTCAAATTATTTGTAATATATTTTTATTATAATGGGAGTATAAGATTTTAATAGAAACTTTTAAATAAGATTGTTGACTGGTGTTGTAGACTCATGCGAGTTATTAAAACAATTAATATTATAAAAATGTATCAGAAAATAATGTTTAATTTTAATGGTGAATCAAGTTTTCTATAAAAAAAAAGTTATAATATTATTTTTTTCTCTATTTATATGGATTATTAAAATAATACTATTATAAATACAATTAAAATTAAATATTGGAGATGAGAATATTAAGATGGATTTGTCGTGTTACTAAGGAGGAAATAATGAGTAACTACCTAATTCATTAAGGTAAGTGTAGGAGTTATAGAAAAAATTAAGGAGAATAGGTTAAGATACTTCGGTAAAGTTATGAGGCAGAGGTCATGGCTCAGATTCATCAAGAGTTGATATAGGAATTACAATTACAATTTAATCTAAGTAGATACAGATTAATATGGTTTCAAAAATTATATATTATATGCAACACAATTTTCAGTTGAAATATCACTAACATTTTTTTTTACCAAGTCAATGGTCACAAGAACAATAATGCTATACATAGATTAATGTGTTATGGTAACCTTTGTTGATAATGACTTATCTCTTCACTGAATTCTTGGTTGGTAATTCTTAACAGCTAACATATACCAAGCCCCTCGCATAAATTGTTCAACTTCATCTAATGATTCTTAACTTAAACTAATTTCAATTATTTTAATGTGATATCTAGCCTATATACGTTCTTGACGGTATTCCTATTATAATTTTTTATAATTGTAGATTCATTTTATAAAGAAATCTATATTTGTGGCTATAGGTAAGTGCAACTCATACATCTTGGTAGGCATTGTGCGATAATTTGATTTAATGCTTGCTTAAATAATATATCAGCTGATCACGTGCTCTTCATTGCCCAATAAAAATACTAACTCTATACGAATAATATGTTTAAAATAATAATAATAGCATTAAAACCGATCGAAACCATTTATACACAAACATTTCCATCAGAAATCTTAAAATCCATGTTTGAGCTTCTCCTGAGGTTTTTCCTCTCCCTTTTTAAATCAGGCAATCTTTTGCAAAGAGGTCAAATCTATCTCTATACCAAATTTCATCAACATAGGTCCAGGCGTTTAGGAAAGCATAAAGAGCACACACAGACAGACAGACAAACATTCATTTTTATTTATTATATAGATATAATCTGCAACCAATGGCAACCATTTATAAACAAATAAAAAGTTTCAATATCCACGGTGAATCTCAAATGCATCGTTTGAGCACCTAATTTACTTTTTTTGAGACAAAAGGTGGCCTATGTCCTTCTCCAAGGTCTAATCTATTTCTGTACTAAATTATATCAAAATCGGTTCAGCGGTTTAGGCGTGAACGCGTAACAGACAGACAGACTTTCGAATTTATATACTACTAGCTGATCCCATGCATTTCGTTTCCCGTTTAATGTACCAATTCTATATGACTCAAACTCTGTTCAATTCGTTATTTAATATTCTGTGTATGGTGTTCAAAATTTATCTTATCTCTTCTGTTGTCTGGGATAAAAATCTTGATTCGCAGCAGTACATTATCAGGTAGGCAATCTACCTGCGGTAGATCGCGGACCCCGTGCTTTTTGTACGTAACTTAATAATTTAACTCTAAAGTATCAAAGTTATACCAAGTAATTTTATTGCGATACATATAATATCAAAACACAGCTTACAAAAAAATTAAATGCATTGAATGAATACACTGATTTCATGGCAACCAATAATTATTATTATAATAGCTTTAAAACACATGGAGACTATTTATAAACAAACATTACCACCGTAAATCTCTAAATCCCCGTTTGAGCCCATACCCTGGTTGGACCTAGGAGGGGGGGTGATTTGTAGCCTATGTGTTATTCTGATGTATAAGCTATATCATTTTAAAGTTTCATTAAAATCCATTCAGTAGTTTTTACTTGAAAGAGTAACACACATCCTTACAAACTTTACCGTTTATAATATTAGTAGGACTTGCCCAAAGTTGCCCAGACCAAAGATTTGTATATAATTATAAAAATATAGTGGTTAGGAGGTACCATTTGAAAAAATAAATTCGATTTTATTATTGGTACAACTGCGTGTTTAAAATTTTTGTAAATTTTATAAAAAAAAATGCCTGTTAAAAATAAAGAAACACGATTTTTTTTTGTTTTAACGAAATTCCATATCATCGATTGATAATTTAAAAAAAAAAATCTTCGTGTGCTATGACATAAGATACACTCTGTATATTTTTTGTATAGCAAAAAATTAAACAATAATATAAAGTCGTTAAGTAATATGTAATAATAAAATTATTTTGAAGTTAGAGTTGAAAAGGGGGCCCCCTAAGTGTATGGTGACCCTGGGCCCAATTGATCCTAAATCACTGCTTGTCAACACAAAAAAAATTCTTCAAAATCGGTTTTGCCGTTTAGAAGAGCATAAAGGACATACAGAAAAACATTAATTTTTATATATATACCTATAGATATTGTTATTATTTTTGATCTCCCAATTAATGTTTTCAAAACAAATTAATAATTATACATTAAAACCTTCCCTGTGACTCAATCGATCTACGAGTGAAAACTGTATTAAAATCCGTTTAATACATTTCGAGACATACAAAAATGGGGCTAATTGAACATACAAAAACGGGAAATTATTGAAGTATCAGTAGGGTTCCCTAATTTTTCTAGTAATAAATATATAGAATATGTTACTCATTGATAACGTAGCATTCGGATGGTGAAAGAATTTTTGAAATTAGTAGTTGTGGAGTTTATTAGTTAAAAATATACAAAATTAGTATAGATAAAGATTAGAGATAGGGACTAGGAATTATTAATTGTCTTGAACTCCTTTCTCATATACGTTAAAAATAAATTCCATAAAATTCAAGAGATGTCCTGCCAATATTTTAACGATATCATGTACCTAATAAATTTGATTATTATTAATTTAAGGAGTCTTGAAATACTTAATGAAATTAAATAAGATTTGTATAATACCTATTAGGTATGTAATGTCATGGTAGGTATTGTAAATATCTTATCGTACTGTACCTATTTATATTTAAATTGTGTAGGTATCATGATGTACATGTTACTTTTTTTTATCACTTATATGCTTAAATTGTAATAAATTTATTTGTGTAGACCCGTACTTGAGTATACCGAATATAATAAATAAATTATTATTACCTATCTATTATTACGCAATTTACTGTAATACTACAAACCTGGTTCTCCTTTAAGCCCTGGTCGTCCTGGTAATCCATTCAAGCCATCCATTCCTCGATCACCTAAACAAAAATAAAACAAAATAAATACTTAGATCATAATTTTAATTTCAGATTCTGAGTAGGTAGAACGAGAAGTGTATTGGTTTTACAATAATATATATTAGGTTCTGATATCTAGTTTTTTTAAAAAAATTTTAAAATTTTTTTAACAGAACAAATGCTTCGATTTTCCAGATTGTAGTTTTTAATAGCAAATTACATCTAGTAGATAACCTTTACATTTATAAGAGTTAAAAATGTACCTATAGTACTTTTAAAAATAACTGAGAAACACAAAAAAAATAAGGGATAAATGAGAGACGTAGTACTCAAATAGTATTTGACAAAATCATTTAGTGCAACTCAAAAACAGATAACTGTAGACTCTTGATATTTTCATCAAATATTTTTATGAGAATTGTCCACACATGTTGTAATTTTCAAAATATTGAATCTTTTGGAGTTGTTTATTTTCTATATTTTATTCTATGATTTTCTATTTGTTTTAGTTTTTTTTTTTTACAAATATTGATCAAACAATTTGGGCAATGGAACTTTATCACACTCATTATAGTGACTAGTTAATGACGATGATACTTTTCACTCCTACAGTAAATGAGACTGTTTACCTACTTTCCCCGTTTATTTTTTTTATTTAAATTGATATAATTATTGGATTATTGGACTTTTTTTAGTGCATGTTTGCATGCATATTTTACAATTTAAAAAGCATATAAATCCGGTTTTTACTTGTAAGGAGTCTTGTATTACATTTTAAAATCTTAGATTTTCTTGCTCAAATTAATTTGCACATTTTTGTGATTTTTACGCCTTTGAACAAAATTTGAACTTTAAATGCTTATAAAAAAAAATGTGGCTATAGATTTTTAATATTTTTAAATTCCATTGTTACAATATATTAAGAGCCTTGTATTAAATTGTCAAACTTTTTTACCAAAAATAACATTTTATTGACATTCATAGAAAAGAAATTGGAAACTGAAAATGTCTGTAACCAGTTCAAAAGAAATCCAAATATTTTGAAATATTTATCGTATATTGAAATGCTAATATAAGCAACCAGTGATAATTTCAAGTATCTATGGTCATTTGTTTTAGAGTTACGACAAAAACCAAAATCGATTATGTGAAAAACCTATATAGCATAAAAATTCTCGGTTTTTCCTTAATTTTTTTTTTTTTTTTTGTTTGTCTCGGCGCTTTTGAACACTAATGGGAATATTTTGACCTCCCAATGCACCACCTACATTCACTTTCCCATCGTACAAGATACTGAAGCTTAAAATCGAAGCATTATTTTGACTGCTTCTAGTGTACACAGCACAAATTTAAAAAAATTTAAAAATTTAAAAAAAACACACCTCATTGTAAAATAAATACATTAATCGCCTCGCACAGAATCTAAAATAATACAAATAAATAATGTAATATTCTAAAAAAGTTTTCTACTAAAAAAATATCAAACGTATAGATTCTAGTTGAATTTATATATTACAGTAGAGAATGCTAATTTGATCAATTACCTTTTTGTCCTGCAGGTCCTGCGGGTCCATGGTTGCCATCACGACCCTAAAAAATAAAGTCAAATATTAATACAAATGATTTTTATTTTTCATTTCTATTTTTTATTTCTATTTTCTATTTTTATAGATTACATGTCTTTTTCAAATGAATAAAAATAATTTATAAAAATTATAGTCAATTTTATTTTAAATGTTTTAAAATTCCCCTTAAAAATTAGGATAAGTTTCTTTGGATAAAAATGTTTAGTTACTCTTGGTCCTGCAGTTCCGATTAAGCCCTTTTCTCCTTTTTCACCAACATCACCTGTAATATAAATCCATAGCCTATAATTAATTTGAATTATTATATTGTATCTTAATATAATAATACAAATTCAAGTTTTAAAACAAATTTTAACTTTGTCTTACTGTGTTAAACCTTTTTATAAGTATGCTAGTAACAAAAAAATAAATTAACTAAATCATTTTTATATAAATTATGATGTTTGTATTTATACTTAAATATGATTATGATATATGTACCTGGGTTTCCTGGATCACCAATCATTCCTGGTTCTCCTTTCATCCCAGGCTCGCCATCTTCACCCTAGTTCATACAAATTGTTGATTAAGTTGTTTATCTATCTACTTTACAACACTAAATAAAACTAGATATCTACCGCATTTCCTTTTTCACCAGGTACACCAGGTGGTCCAACTGTTGTATTGAATTTGTCAAAACTTAATGAGTTTGGCAAAGGTGGTCCTGGTGGACCACGTTCTCCTTTATGGCCTTTTTCTCCTTTAGTACCTTCAAACCCAAGACCCATATTTCCTGCATTTTAAACAACAACATATTAGGTAATTGATATACCATAGTATAAAAATGTATTTTATCCTTGTACACGTTATCCACTCTCAAGTGTCAAGTCACTACTATATTTACTTCTCTACCAGTCTCCCTTAAAATTAAAAACGATAAAAGCACCTCAATTGAACATTCAAAATTATTCGGAAATACAAAAACAACAGTATTAACTATTTAATAACAACAATTGTATTAACTGGTGCAAATGCGGACACGTATTGAGAGTGGAGGGACTGGAGGGACTGGAACCTTTTGAATTTATGGATATCGGTTCCGGCACTGGTCATCTAAAAATTAAATGACTGTTCTGGTTCGGTTTTGGTTTTTTATAAAAAAAAAAAAATGTATCGGTTCCAAATAAATTCGGTACCGGTTCCAGATAATTTAGGTACCAAAAAGTATAACTTTAAATACCTATCCGGAATGAGGGTTTAATTAATAGTATGAGAAATACTAGAAAACTCATATGATCATACATAGTTCATACACTAAACATTTATAACACCATTAAATTATGATAAATAAAATTATTTTGTTTTTGAACCTAAAAGAGCCTATTTAATATAAATATTCTGGTTCAGTTCCGGTATTTTATTTATTAAAAAGGTTCCGGTTCCGGTATCCAGTTCTTGATATTTTAAAGGTTCTAGTTCTAGAATCCAGTTCTTTTAGGTTCAGTTCCAGTCTCTGGTTGAAACATTATGCAACTATTTTTGTTTGATTTCGAGTATAAGCAAACATTTTCAATAATACATACCCTTTTCTCCTTTTAGGCCTGGGACTCCATGATTTCCCTGTACAAATTATAATATTTATATCAATAATTCTTTAGTGAGAATATTTTATTTAACTTATGGTATAGGTAAAATAGTAGTGTATAAAATAATTAGTTATTTATGTAAGTACAGTTAATAATTGAGAATTAATTTGATTTACTTTTATTCCAATTTCTCCTATTAGTCCAACAGGACCTTGTATCCCTTGGATCCCGGGATTTCCAGGTAATCCTGTAAAAATTGTAATTATTATGTTATTATAAATCATTATAAAACTATATTTAATTCTAGAGACCAATGGAATTTTTAGGTGCAGGCACATAATATTTACATTAACATTTAACCTATTATAAATTGTTTGTGATTTTCAGACTATCTTATTAATTATTTGTATTGTTTAACCAATATTTTACTCTTACCTCGATCTCCATCCAAACCAGGCTCTCCTTTTTGACCTTTGTTGTGTATCGATGTTTGGGCAGGTTCTCCTTTTAGACCTTTAAAAACATATATTTGGTATATTTTTTAATCTATAACTAAATAAAGCTCTCAATATTAACGACTAAATATGTAGATAAATCGTACATCTATAGAATATATTTGTTCATCCCTATACAATTTCTAAATGTAATTTAAAAATAGAAATACAAAACACGTTTAGTTAAAAACAGATTTATTTAAGCTGTGTTAAAATGTTTGATTGGCAAATAAGAACATTTGAGTAAAAAAATATCAGAAAATATTGTATTATTCTGTTTATGTTTTAAGCAAAAATGAAATTTTCTTTGAAAAAAATTAGTGTATCTAAATGAAAGTTTTTAAAATTCTATACAACAGGTTGACAATATTCTGTTCAGATTTAATGCAAAACGAAGATACCTGATATTGCTTATTTTCAGTGATCGGGTAGTGCGCTCATTGTGGCGACGCTACGGTAGCATATTACTTTATTTGTAGCGATTAACACCTAATGTAAAAGAATGCTATAGAAATTTACTGTTAGCGTAGCGAAAATTCATTATTTTGTCTCTACCTACAACCTATTTGGAGATAAATCAAAGTATTATAATAATTTATAACTAAATGACTATTTAACTATACAACGAAAGTAGTTATTTATTTATAATATTATAATAATGATAAGTGTATTAGTAAATGTATCGGGTTGGATCCACAATCAACTCACGTACCTAATCAAGTCCCGTATAGTAACCAAATGTCAAATTAGTACAAACTACAAACTAACAATTTTCAATAAGAAAAAAAATAATAATAAAGTTGGTCAAGTGCTGTACAGTAGCTGTCGAGCATGTGGTTGTAATGAATGTATTATATTGTAACGTTCATTGTATACGAAAAACGATTTTGAGAGGAGACGTTGTGTCAGCCAATCATACTTTCTATAAATAATCAAATTTAAGGGGAAAAAAAAAATTAATAAAAATAGAAAATATCTCATGGCTATAAATTTCGTAACTTTCCGGAGAATTTTCTAGTTTAGATAGAGGTAATAAAACTTGTTGGGAACCTTCTATTGAAATTGCTTATGTTACCTATGAAAAGAAAAATTTTATGAATTTCTTACTCGAAAATTATTTACAAAATTTGAAAATGTTCTCATGGCTATAAATATTTCGAAAAGAGTCAAAATAGTTTTAAAATTGTATTACATTTGGGAAATGCTAATATAAATATTTGGTGAAAATGTCGAGAGTTTACCCAGTAATTCATTTTTGAAACACAAAAAAATCTCAAAAATCGATTAATGGGAATTCGATAATTTACCGCTAAATATCAAATATCGTATAAATTATAAGTTCAAACACTCATGAAAATTAATGTTCCGTTTCAGTAAACTTTTTTTTTTGTTATAGGTAGAAAAACTTATGTGAATTCTTGTATTAACATTTTTAATCTTTGATATGATAAACTTTTATGAATTTCTACCTGCAAAATTTAAAAATTTCTCATGGCTATAAATAGCATGTATGCATAATGTTCATTATACCATTTGGTGAAAATGTGTCTAGGGTTATTCTTTTTTGAATTACAACAAAATATCAAAAATTGATAGAAGAAAATTCGTTAAATTACCAATGAAAATAAAATATCGTATTAAAACGCTCATAAAAAATTAGTGATACTTTCCGGTAAACTATTTTTTTTGTTTAAGGAAAGAAAAATATAGTGAACTCCTATCAAAATTTCTAATGTTAGCTTTGAAAGGAAAAACTTTTATGAATTTCCAACTGAAAAATAGGTAAGTTTTGAAATGTTGATGAATATTGTTAAAATTTGAACGTTAAATGTATATAAAAAATAATAGTAAAATATCTTTAATATTTTTAACTTACATTATTAAAACTTATAAGGAATCTTACATTAAATTTTCAAGCATTTTTACTAATTAAAAAAGTTTAAATTGAGAATAATTTAAAAAATAATTAACAAATTTCGAAAAATTTCTCAAGACTAACTATAGCTCAAAAAGAGACAAAATATTTCTAAAAGGTTACCATTCATTGAAAATGCTAAATATATTTGGAAACTTCAAAGGTCTACGGTCTACGGTTATTAATTTTTGAGTTACACAAAAAAAATAAGATTTCCTTCAAAAATTGGTTTTGCATAAAAATTATCACACTTATTCACTTTTTATTTTGTTTTTTATGACGCTATCTAAAATTACTTAGAGTTTCCAATTTGAACCACCCCATAAGTACCGAATACTGGATTTATTTTTATATCAGAAATTATGCTGATCTTGAAAATCAGAATATTTTTACTTCCCAAAATGTTGATGAAAGACAGAAAAAAAACACACATCACTGTAAAATCAGTACATTCTTTCGCTCCTCTTAGAATCTAAAATTTAGTGAAAAAGTAGCGTGCTACATTTAAACAATAGCATTAGAAATTGTGCACTTAATTCTTAAAAAAGTAGCTATAACAATACCTAGTTACTTTTAGATTCTGAGTTAAACGATGAATGTATTGATTTTACAATGATGTGTGTTTTTTTATTAATTTTTTTTTTTTTGTGTGTCTATCATCACGTCTTAGGACAGTAAAAGTGTTTGAATTTACTTCAAAAGTAGCTTTTCTGACAGGAAAGTGAATCTAGTTGGTACTTTGGGAGGTCAACAGTGACAATTTCCCAGTAGTTTTCGAAAGCGGAGTGAAAAACAAAATTAAAATTAAGGAAAAATGGGAATTTTTACACTAAAATCTGTTTTCGAAAAAAATCGATTTTGGTTTTTGGTGCAACTCTTAAACAAATTACCGTGGGTAAATGAAGTTTTTACTGAATATTTATATTAGCATTTTCTATACACAATAACATTTTCAAAATGTTTTGATTTATTTTGAACTGTTTAGGCACATTTTCATTTTCCATTTTTTTTTAGTTTTTTTTCTAAAAATATCAATAAAATTGTATTTGTTGGTTAAAAAAGCTTGAAAATTTAATACAAGGCTCATACTATATTTTTACAATGGCATTTAAAAAATATTAAAAATCCTTAGTCACAGTTTCTTTTTATAAGCATTTAAAGTTCAAAAATTGACAAAATATGGAAAAATCACGAAAATCAGCAAATTATTTTGAGTTAAGAATTCGTAAAAATTTTTCTTTTTAAATCTAAGGTTTTAAAATGTAATACAAGATTCCTTATAAGATTATCTACCTTTATAAAAAAAAAATGTCTATAAGAAAGTCAAATTAAATTTTGATGATCGTTTGAAATTCAAATTTTTACAACGTTAGATGTTCACTCGAACTCATGTAGCGATTTCCTTATTTTGTTGTAATTCAAAAACGAATTACTGTAGATACATGAAAATTTCACTGAATATTTATATTAGCATTTCCTGTACACCATACAATTTTGAAAATATTTTGACTCTTTTTGAGCTGTTAACGGACATTTTCACTTTCCAATTTTTTTAGTTTTTTATTCTATAAATATCAATAAAGTTTTATCTTTTGGGCCAAAAAGTGTAAAAATTTAATACAAGGCTCCTGATATATTGTTACAATATCAGTTGAAAATTATTAAAAATACATAGGCAAAATTTTTTTTTATAAGAATTTAAAGGTCGAATTTCGATGAAATTTCTCAAATTTAAAATTGAATAATTATTTTGTAGTTAAAAATGTATAAAATGTTCAACTATTATATCTAAGGATTGAAAATTTAAAACAAGATTCCACGTAAGTAGTTGATTCTATTACCAAAAACCTAAAAAATACACAAGCACAGTTTATTTTTATACTCATTTTAAGTTCAAATTTGGACGAAATTACATATTAAAATCAATATTAACGATTTTAGTTTTTTGTTGTAATTTAAAAATATTATTCGGGGGATATATGAAACTAAAAAATCAAAAATATTAAAATATTATGGCCTATCCATACAATCTATCATAGTATAATGAATAAGAAGTATGCTCTATGATAAGACTGTGCATATTTTTTTTTATTACCATTGATATGTATATAATTTGTCTTAAACCTAGACTGACATACTGTCTCTGCTCAGAATCGTTTTTCTCATACAATGATATTATATCATTGAATTCAAATTTAATACCATCCATTATACAGTGACCCACTTGTAACCTACTGAACAGCAGAGCAACTTTTTTGAGGTGAATTGCAGTTCCGACCACTGCATATTTTCGTATTTAACAAAATAATGTAATCACAGAAAAAAATTATTATGGGTTTTTGGATTTTATTAACATTTATTATGGCAGTTATATTTAAAAATTAAAATAATAACAGAAATAGAATTATACTACCAAATATGATTGTATATTTCTTTTCATAATAATATGTATTATCTTATTATATATTTTCGTTAACTACTTGTTATTAAACAACCCTACATTTGATTTCCAAAATTGTATAATTCAAACTTTAAACTATCAAGCTTGATAGGAAATAATTATAGTTTAACATATTTTTATTGCAGAAATACTTAAACCTCTTACAAATCTCATTTTCTATCATTTGTAATAAGGTAAAATGTTGAGAGTTTATATAGGTACCTATTTCAAAATACCAACCTTTTTCACCGGTTATTCCTTGGTACCCACGAGGTCCAATAGCTCCTGGTGATCCAGGAAGTCCTGGATTTCCCTGCCAAATAGATACGAATTTTTTAAATCTTTATCATTATAATATTATAAATTAAAATGCATTATATTCTTATTTATTTGTATTTAGTTGTTTCGTATATTGCGTAAGTAATTTATCATATTGGTACGAATAATGGATTTTGCTTGTATATTAATTCTAGTAACATGGTATAATATATACTGTGAGTGATATATCATACAGTTTTTTATCATAATATTATAATCTATACATCTCTTTATATATATGACGAATACTTAGTACATCGATAGAATTGGAATCGCACTATAACATTGCCCAGGTGTAACGCGCAAGCTCGGATTAAGACAATTTTGGGCACGGGGACAAATAATAATAATAAATCTGCATTATCCATATATTAAAGGAAACATTGGTATTACCAACCAGGGGTCCACTATTGTTCGATATCCGTGGGGGGCCCTAGTCCATGGATCCCCTGCCCCCCTTAATCTAGGAATGGTAACGCATAGGGCTTAAAGGTCCGAGTGCACGGCAGGCACCTATAGTAGCCTAGTACACACATTATGGCCTATAACAACTTCAAAACGTATTGAGCTGAATTGAATGCCAGCAATCAAAAATGAGAATTATTATTGAGTAGGAAGTACTATATAAAAAATACTATATTATATTAGTATAAATATATAATAATATTTTTCTATAAATTTAAAACAAAATAATATCATGTTGAAGTCTTTATTTCTTAGAATTTGCATTGTAATATTATGATGAAAGATAATTATTGAATTAGTTAATTAAATAGGTATAATAGAGTTAAACTCTGCAATTCGAAATTTATATAGGTATTAGGTATATATAATATATATATTACTAAATTACTTAAGTAAAATTTATATTTATTAAAGGACATAACAAAAAGGAAATCTTGGCCTGGTGTGGTGTGATTATTAGCCACAGTTACTAATGTGTGTTGGGGTCAAGCATCTCCCGATATAGCTTCCGGATGGGTGACCATCCAGGTTTTTAGTGACTCCGCCCCAGATACAAAACTAACTGTAGATAAACCTACTACAAAATTATATAGTTGCCGATGCTTAAGTTTAATAAAAAAAAAACTGGGAATCAACAATTTAATGTACCACTAACTTATAACCTGCAATAAGTCATATTAAACTTCAACTGACATTTCTAAACAGATTAATTTCTTATAAACTATAGAATAATTATTTTTTTGATTTCAATATTTTCAAAGTAAGAAGAATATATTATACATACATCTGTTCCATTACATCCGTCTAAGCCAGGGATACCCGGTATTCCTTGCGGGCCCATTTGCCCAGGTATTCCACTTACACCTGAACAAAAAAAAATGTATTGATCAGACAAATATTATATATAAGTAGGTATATTTTTTTAATAATAATTACCTGGGAAACCTGGAATGCCCGTTTTTCCCTAAAAACAAAATATACTTTATTAAAACAAAAGTAAATTACTAAATACATCTACCATATATGCCTAAATGTTTTTTATTTTTTTACTTTCACTTTAATATAATTCTATTCAAATAAAACACTCGTATGTTTTGTCTCACTATCTTCAATATAAAAGTGAATTGATCTATTAAGTACATAATATTATGATCACCAAACATAAAAGTAATCTGTGATAATACGTCGTTTTTTTCGATACCTATTTTAATTTATAAGCTATATTTAGGAGTAGGTATGTATGTAAAATATTGCAATCACTCACTTCAAAATGTAAATATCGTTAGAAAACGACAAACACAGATAATTATCTTATCTTTAAACTTAAAAAACATCAATTTACTTAAAAGGGTCAAAAGTAAAAATATCCAGTACTTTTCAGAGTAACCAGGATCGATAACGCAGTGTACAATCCCGTTTGCGAGAAACAGACGACTAACATGAAGATAGGCTAGCAGCTATGCAAACACGCGTTACTCAAGTATTTTGACTAAGGACGAGGATCAGCGAAGAGCCAGACTGTAGAGCACAGGTTTTAAAAATTATTTAATTTAATGTCAAAATTGAGAGTTAATAATTTTCTAGAGCCCACAAATTTTTAAAACTCACCATCTGTAGGTAGTGCATTTTAAAAACAGTAGTTATTGTAATTATTATATTCAAAAACGCTACCTATATCTTATATCTGAGTTCAAACTTCCACGTTTAATGAGAACAATTCAAATATATAATTAAAACTCATATGTACTTGATCATATTTAAAATTATATTTATTAAAGTTCAAACATCAATCACTAATCTGAATCATATTCAAAAGTATTTTTATTAAAATTATATGAAAACGTATCTAATGTGAAGGATGAACTTTATGCTCTTTAGCGAGAGCTTGAATTTACTTACAAACAGACGTAAGTGGAATTATGTGGACATGTAGTAGGTACTTAATTATAAGTATAAGAACATAATTGTCAGGGCCGGCGTTATACAATTTTGACGGGGGGGTGAGATCAAGAATTTGCCGACTGAAATTTAATTTATGCCGACTCATAATTTCTTTAAAACATCATTACATCAACAATCACTTCTGCAACTGTATCCGGGGCCGACACAAGAAAAATCTGACGGAAGGGGAGGGGTGTCATACTAAAATTGCTGGCTCCAAGTATCTTTGCAGACTCGAAAAAAATTTAAAACCGGAGTAATAACAATGAATGTAATTTTAAAATAATTTTTTAATGTAAATCAAATATTACATAAGTACATATTATTATACATGGTTAGTCTAAAATTAAATCCAATATATATTAAGATATATGTATATCATTATTTATCATTATATTTATCAATTAGGTTTAGGTACCTATAGGCATATGATTTTTATTAAAATGTTAGTAAAGGTAAAAAGTAAATAATTAAATTAATAATTACACCAGGCATCAAGTTTTTATATTCTATACAATATTATAAAAATTTAAAATAATAACAATGTTTTTACAATAATTGTGAATTATACATTTATTCGTCGTTCCTTAAGGGTTTCCCAACTTTCTATCATTGTTGTCATGTCTATCTCATCCAGAATATCCTTGGATGAGTTCAGTACCATAAGATTGTCTAATCGCTCGTCAGTCATTGTTGTTCGCAAATGATTTTTTACAAACTTAAGAATACTGAATACTCTTTCATTGGTAGCTGTAGAGACTGGTGATGTATATGCTAAGCGACATAAAGCATTAGCTGATGGTATAACAGTTTTCAATTTATTACTTGATTCCATAATTGATTTTAATGTGTTATTATAATCATTGTCTGTATTAAGTCTTAATATATTTATTTCACACAGAATTCCATCAAAATCAGTTACCTTAGACAAATCTGAACCTGGAGGGAATAAAGAAAAAGCTTTCTTTATATCTTCTAATGTAATGGTCGATTTTAATGGAACTGATAAAATATGGTAGATAGGTTGAACCGAAGAAAGACAGGACTTCAAATTTTCTGCCATTAAATTTATTAATGTATCTAACACTTGACCAAATTCTTTTCGATAAAATGATTCTAATGTGAAATCAGCTTGAGTATTGGAATTGGAATCAATTTTCTTAGGATTCAACCGTTTCCTATGATGTCTCTGAAAATCAACAATTGGGTCCACTTCCATTTTCAATGAAAATACTTTGGCACTTGATATGAGTTTATTTAATTGGTCTGTATCATTTCGGATTTCTTCTAATGATCTTACTGCACACTCTATTAACACAATACCATCAACGATATTGAGATCTGAAGCCTCCAATTGTTCTGTCAGTGTTTTCATTTGATACATTATGGTTTTCATTGTATACATACTAACAATGAAGTCAAATGACAAACACTTTTTTTCTAATCCTAGAGCTTGAATTTTAGTTTTTTGGTCTATGGTTTTATCTGTTGTCAGATCATTTAGAACACTTATAATTATTTCATATGAAGTGTAAACTGCTTTAAGGGACTCGGCACGTGCAGTCCACCTGGTCTTTGATAAATTGCGAAGTTTTAATGACCCTTCAATCTCAAGCAACTTTTTATGTAGATATCCACCTCTTTTAGTGCTTGAAGAAAAAAATACATATAAGGACTCTAATGTGTTAAATAATTCAGCAACAATAATACTGGCATCACAACTGTGTTCCACAAATGTGTTTAAACGGTGTGCTTGGCATGGAATATATGGTATATTATGACCAACTATTTTAGAAAGCATTGCTTGAGTTCCTTGTAAATGACCTGACATATTAGAAGCAAAGTCATATGATTGAAAAGCTATACTTTCAAGATGTAATCCATTTTTTGTTAATATTTCACAAATTTTATTTGCCATACCTAAAAAAGAAATATCAAAAAAATTTCATTAATTCAACTATAGTCTATAGTCTAAACTCTAAATCATAAAATTGTTTTTTAAAAATACCCGCATAATGATAGTTTATTATGAAAATAATATTATTACCTTTTCCAGTTTTATCTTGAGTTTCTGTTATTTCAATTAATCGTTCCCACACTTTTGAATTTGTATCTACATATCGAACACACACAGACATTTGGTCACGATTTGAAAGATCAGGCGTGGTGTCTGCCATAACAGAATACATTTTAGCTCTCTTTACTTCTGATACAATTTTTTTTTTTGTTTCATTTGCTAGTAGATGAATAAATTCATTTTGTGAATCGTGACTCATATAAGTTACATGATATGGACGAAATGCAGTTTCTTCTAACCAAGTTTTGATAGTTGGGCAGTGACGTGAGAGAAGTAATATTATTTGCTTAAAGTTACCATTATTTTCATCTCCATCTCCTCGGAATGATAAACCTTGTCGTGCTAATGTGCGTGTTACATCAAATAATATTTTAATGACATCTTTATGAAATTGTTTTTGTGCACTTATTTGTATAGCAGCTTGTCTGTTTTCTTTATTTAGCAGTTTATCAATATGATTGCAATTTAAAGTGAAGTAACTAAAATCAACTAAAGCTGATTTATGCGCATTAGATGAGAAATGTAATTCCAATTTCCCTGGTTTCCCTTTACCCCTTGACTTCATTTTCGACCAATTTCTAACTCCAATCACTGTCCAACTATTTTCAGCACGTGCTCTGTTTGGTCCATTTGGAAATAATGAACAAATAAAACAGAATGCCGCATCACAACTAATACTGTACTCCAAATGAGGATATTCCTTAAACCAACTTGAATTAAATTGTCTTTGTTTTCCTTTAGTTATGTCGTAATTAGTTGGAAATGTATAATCAAGAGGCTGATAAGGTCCAAGACTTAATAAATAATTACGTTGCGAAGCAGATTCGACTTTTCCTCGTTTACCAGGGTCATGGTCTAATAATTTATCAACTACTTTTTCATTTGTTGAAAATAATTTATTTGAAGTAAATTCTTTAGATAAAACATTAGAAGCAGATTGTATATACATAGTTGACTTTTCTTTAACAGAAGAAATCAATTCAATACTCATCGTTAAGAAATGAATGGGATTTGGAATATCATCATCATGCACTTTTTTAAGAAGCAATTTACATTCTTTTATAATTTGTACTAAAGATGAAAGTTTACCTACACAATCAATCCAAGATTCAGTGTTTTCACTATGATTATTAATATTTTTAGTATCAAGATCATTTTCATTTTTTTTACTGCTTAAAACGGCACAATCATCCTGTAAATTTAACAAAATTAAAAATTATAATTAAACTGTCTACTTAGAAACCTAGTTACTTAAGTGTTTTAAAATATTTTATTTTCCTAATTTATAACAACATTTTTTATAAAATGTATTGAACAAATTATGATTTATACCAATTATTTTGTTTGGGTATTGTAAGAATTTTACCATAATATTAAAGTTATAAAATTAAACTATATAGTTGTCTAGCTATATGCCTATATGTATTATTAACTAAAAAATAAAAATAACTTACTTCTAATACATCCAAAAGATATTCTATAGTTTCACTAAAACAGTTTTCTTCTTCTGAAGTAGGTTGTAAGTAAGTTGTGCAAGTTGTGGTATTTTTGGTTACCTATTAATAAGAAATAATAGATATAAATTGAAAATATATACATTTATATAAAATAACAATATACATTATAATAAAAAAATCAATAATTAATATAAAAAATGTATATATTAATTATATATTATATTTTTTTATTAATTTCTAAAAAAAAGTTGATTTGCATACTTCTAATTGAATTGGATCTTTTTCAACAGATGTGCATGTATCAACATTATTTTCTTCAATGTTTTGAATATTTTCCATAGTAGAACTTGTGCTGGTTTTCTATCATTTGAAAAAATAAGTTAAATAAAAATACCATTTCTTATGCAGGTACTTAATTGAATACATTTAATTTTAAACTAACTTACAGTTGGTGAATATGCTCTATGTAAGTATTTTGAAGCTTCGAATGGATTTTCTGGTGCACCGAAATGCTTTACTGAAACTCGTTTTCCATTATGTTGCTGACGTTCATGTTTAGCACGATAATCTTTATTAAATACACCACCACACTTAAGGCACTCAAGTTTAATTCTTTTTCTTTTATTTTCCATTAGAAATTGAAATTAAAAGTGAAAATTATAATAATATAAACCTACTCACACACAGACGACAGTCAATAGAACGTGTATTGTGAAATGATTGGTGATGTGCAGTACTGCAGTAGACGGTAGACAGTAGTGTAATACTGTAGTAGTGTAGTGGATGGATGCACGCCGCACGGGATACGGGAAAATGTTTATCAGTTTATACCAACAGTTTTAAAAATAGATATGGGCTATTCCACGGCTATAGTAGGTATCTGTAGTCGTGGCTATTCTAGATGTACATATTTTATTTATATCAATAATCAATTTGCCATTTGCCAACTGATATCGGAACTATTTATATTTTATATTTTATAATTGGAATGTTTTTAAAAGATATTTAATTTTTATTTGTAAATACAACAAATAGGTTATTTTATCTAAAAAATTCCGTATGCCGAAAGTGCCGACTTTCATTACGATTATTCGATGGCGGGGTGTCACGACCCCCAATACCCCACTTGCCTCCGGCCCTGATAATTGTTTGCTTTTTTAACCACCTCTGGTCTGCTTCAATGCACTCAACATGTCTTCGGGTCTTTCCCCCTAATATAATAATATTATGTATTTGTATTATACCTATTATAATAGATTCAATTTAACTATTAAATAGAATGTGTCCAGACTGACTCACAGATTGATCAATGTAGAGCCTTAATAGCTAGAGTCTTTAAATGTTCACGGTACCTTCGTACCACCATGCCATTGTGCACTAAGAAAGAATTTAAAAGATTTCGCATTTTAAAGGGGTGCCCGCACAAGTATTTTGAGATTCACGATGGTCAATGGAAATCAAAAATTGTACACACAATCGGTTACAAATTATAATAGAAAAGTAGAACATTTTTAAGTTTTGAACACTTTTACACCGAATATTAAAAAGCGAATTGAACAATAATGTAAAGTATCTTATTAGTTACAGCACTACATGTATTAATATTTTATTATACCATGAAAATAATAAATAAAACAAGTAGGTACATTACCCTGTCTCCTTTTGGTCCTCGTACACCTATGGGACCGATATCTCCTTTATCACCCACTGGACCTGGAAATTAAACAGTGATAATAATTTAATAAATAATCGTTATAAATTATAATATTTGTATTAGTAATTATAATGTTAATATGTTATAACCAATAACTGTTATACAAAGAAATACAGTAAGATATAAAGAGTGGAATATAAATATATAAATATACAATAGCATTAAAAATAAAGATAGGTAGGTACTCTTGTTTGAAGTATATAACAATTCATGTAAGTTCATATAATAACTCTATTGATAACAGCTAATTGCTAAGGCAAGTTGACTTTTTAAAATTATATTTTTATAATATATATTTTAATTGATTGGAAAACTGTGAAACCGGTGTTAATATATAGGTATTTGCAGTGTTCACTGTTAATAAATTGCCATTCCAGCTTCCACTCAAATGTATTGCATTAATACTTTTAAATCAAAATTATTATGCAATAAACTTGACTATGATATTTTATTAAAACTGATTAACCTTATAGCTATCCCTATAGCAATTATAATGTACAGTCAATTCTACTATTTTTATACAAACAACAATTTTGTTTTTTCCGTGTTGAATGAATCATTTTTTTATGCAACTTAGCAATAACATTTTAAAATTTTTAATTATAAAGTTATAAATACATTTTCATACAATGAAACTAATATAAACGTAGTAAACTGTACTGTTCCATGGGCAAGGTTAAAGAAAAATAAAAAAGTGATGAAAAAGCTTTTTCTAAAGTATCTACCTAATCAGAGTACCTCAACTTTCATCTTTCCAATTCAAACACTTTGTTGTGTGTTTTTTTTGTATGTACAATATAATATTTATTATATATTCATATATTATATCATATAGGTACTTGTACTTTTAAGCTATATTAATACAATATGGATTATTTTAAAATGTGTCAATAGTTACCTGGAAGGCCTTCAAGTCCTTGATATCCTTGTATTCCTTGAGGACCTGGTGAACCAGTTGAGCCCGGTGGTCCCTTAGTTTAAGGTTAACAATAAAAAAGAAAGTTTTAGTTTGTATACTATACATAATAATCAGAATATTATACTATGTATTCATGATATTATATTTATTCGATTATTAAACCATTATTTTAACTTACTCGACTTCCTTTTTCCGCGAAACATTTTGGTGTACAATTTGTAGAGTTGCCTCTCTGGTTTGAAATGGCATATCTATTGTCACCAGTATATCGTTTTACTTCTTGATCTCCAGAATATGGATCATTTAAATTCGTTTGATTTGAATCCTTCCAAGTTGGATTCCATTGCTGAAAAAAAATAAACATATATTAATATAATATAATATAATATAATATTATTATTGATCATCACTAAAAACGAAGTTTGTTTAATAATTTAAATTTTTATGTCACTTTCTATAATATGGAAGTTGTGGTGAAAGTAACCTATTTTTTAATAAACTATATGGAATTTAGGAATCTTTTAGGGAGGGTTAAATAAATAATAATACACAGACCCGTGGGGGATCCCCCCCCTCAATAATGGGTCCCTAACAATTAAACAATATAATAATAATAAATATATACATATTATATTTAAAAAACTTATGATATTGTTGGTCCGGTTTGTGTATAACTTAAAATGCCGAACGGATAATGAACATTATTGGATAAAATAGTTCATGGATTATTATTGGGGTGGCACACTAAGTACATAAGCACCGCGCAGACAATGACTGCACGTACACCAGTCAGTTCACCTCAAGTAATGACAACTATACAACGAACTGCTACACCAAACTCTACCCTTCCAGGTCGCCAAATTATCATAGATTATAAATAATATCGATATTAATATTAAGGGGACGCCACACACGTGGGTGTTGTCTCCGTCTTACAAACACGTAACATACCAAATTTACCCTCTGAAATTCAAGTTTTAGTTGGATTAAAAGTTAGAGTGAATCGACCTATTATGAAACTTGATGGTAAGAACATTATCCGTGTTTTGTTGGAAGGTTTTTTACGATAATTCAGTTTTTAAATGAGTTATGAGCATTTTTTATTTACATTTATTATACACACGTGTAACTCACTTAAAAACTGAATTACCTATCGTAAAAAAACTTCCAACAACACACAGAATCACACATTATCTGATAATGTTCTTACCATCGAGTTTCGGAGACCACAGATTTCTATATAGTACCTACTAGATAGTGAACTTCAACCATGAAGGAAAGCTTCAAGGTCGGTTGGCAATTGTATGGTATTTTATATGGCAAATAAGATTAATTATGATTTATTTTATTATATTTTCTATTGTATTTTATTATTTCTTAACCTGTAGTTTTAAAAAACAAAAAATAAATATTTTATATAAATCATTTTACATTTACTATTTTATTGTGCTATTAAAAACAATGTTATCCCTAACACATTTTGTATAATACATTAAATGTTTTGCCAACCGACAAAATAGAGGCCGTCCACAGCTGAACTTCACTAAGTTTACAACTACAAGTCTTGTAACAATGCAAATTGTATAGGAGTTTCTTATCTAGTTTAGTATAGAAGTCTGTGGTTGTCTTCTTATCCCCAGCTTAAAAATGTACAACAACTGTTTCGCGCGGGACATCCAAGGTTGGGCATTAACGTGTTAATAAGTTAGAAGTTAAGTTGAAAGTTAAAAATATCATTAACTTGCCCAGCCTTGGGGACAACTTTACTCCCTCTGTATTTATAGTACAATTACCAAAATTCCACAAATTCCATAAAGGAAGAACTTTATCTGTTTCGAAGCTAGTGTTTTTATTTTATTTAATATCACTAACCAATCATTTTTATTAATTAAATGAAGAAAACAAAAAAAAATCTAATGTTCTTAAACTGATGACTTTGAATGTATTTATATTATCCAAATAATAAAAACACTACGACACAGATAATGTTCTTCCCTATGCATTGTTAAGTTTTGGTAATCCTACTATCAATACAGAGGGATTAAAGTTATCCCATTGTACATTTGTAAGACGGAGACATGTGACAACACATGCGGGTGTGACGTCCTCGATTTAAAATAATAATAAAAAGGCCTCGGAGGACCAACTTCATGGATGTCAATACACCACTGCGGTCTTTAGTACAAAAATGAAAAACTTGTAGCACGAGAGAAATTCTTACACTTTGTGAAATATTTAGGTAATTTTTTTTTAACATATTAGGTATATTATGTTTTTAAGCTGGATACAACTTTTTTTCTGTCTATGTCCACCAATCAATAACTACAATAATTATAATATTAACCATTATTATTTATTAGGTTAATTTGATAGGTTATTTTTTACGATTTCCCGTAGCCTATTTCACATCATAGATCCCAATTACAATCGAACATTAATAAGTAAACAAATGGTATTTTTTTAACAAATTTTGCATTTCACGATAAACCGTATTATTTAATATTATATTAGATTTTTTTGCGCTATATTTGTTATATTAGAACAGCGACCACCAAATATATGTATTATATACGTCTTCAATATTTCAATGTTTTTACTTGCAATGAAAAAATATAAAGTTGTTTTTGTGGACTGAATAGTGAATAGTGAAAACATTTCAGGTCATATTGGACTCCAATTTAAAAAAAAAAAAACTCTACTTTAGAAGTTATAACGAACTTTTATTACAATTTACAAATACTTGAGTATTGAAAATAATTTGAAATATTTTAGCTTAATTAAAACATCAGAAAAAATATATCTATCTTTATCTATTCATTATTGAATAGATAAAGTTTTTCTCAATCAAATGAAAAAACAAAATGTTGAGTATCTATATTGTATATAATTTATTGATTTCTTATTTTCATTTTAAATATCATGATCGGATATTGTTAAAACTTAAACCTATAGATAAGTCTAAAACCCAGATTTACCCATCTAAAAAACGATGTGTTTACGAAAATCAATTTGAGAAAATTATAAATGCCAAAGAAAGAACGATATAAATTATTCATAGAAGTTACCTAAATAATATTTTATTTATTTTTTGATCATTAAGCCCGGCAACTATGGCTATTAGCTATTTGTTTCTTTGTAGGGGATTGTACTGTAGGTTAGCAAACACGCGTGTTTGGTTTTTGGCAGAATTTCAAATAAGGTAAACAGTTGCCTGCCCTGACAGAAAAAGCCGCCCGTGGTCGAGATTCGAACCGGCGACGGTACGCTTTGAAACCGACGCCGTAGTCCGCTCACTCCGTCTCCCCTATATAATATTATAATAATACCTGTAATGTTACAAATTTACAACATAAACAATTTGTGTTAAGCAAAACAAACTTTATATTGTTAGCTTTAATATTGAAACGAATCGACCTATTTTCTACCTTGAATTTAAAATCGTTCTTTGTGTCTATAAGTCAATGTTAGATTACTAACTTTTTAAGCACGTTATGAGCATTTTTAAACTCTAATATTTTACATATCGGTACTCATGATATACTTCAAAACAATCAATATAAAAACCAGCTAAAAAATACAAATAATGTTCTCACCTTAAAATCTGATAATGGGTCACTCTAATTGAGTCTAATAGGTATTACACCTAACAACACAAAGTTAGTTTTTATGAACGTAAATTTTATATGGTGTACATTCGTAAAACGGAGACAAGATGAAAATAATATTCTGGTAAGAAGACACCTCACGTCCACAAATTTGACAAAACACTAATTTATTGTAGAATCCTATTCATGCGAAAATAATAACTCAACATACAGGCATAGTTGAAAAATAAAATATGTACACAATATAGGAGTCAGGAGATAATACATTTTTAAGTGTTGCTCAGATTAGGCTTGGCTAGTGTGAGAACACTATATAGTGAGTTGTTTTAAATTAGTTTAAACCAAATCCCTTCAAATCTTAAAAATCTGAAATATAGTTTCACTGAACGCTTTTTTTTTTAAAGAAGTTACCTACCTACTAATTTTAAAATATTTTCAAAATATATTATAAATTTTAACTTTAATACAGGGCTTGCCAACGTTATAATAACGTTATGATTATAACGTTATATTTGATAAAAAAAACAATTGAAATTTGTAAACGTAATTGTAACGGAAAACGATAACCAAAACCCATTGAATAGTTACTAAGGTACCGCAAAACAAAACATAACGATTTACAAAATATATTATATATCATTGAACAAAACATAAATCAAAACATAATTTATAGAATATCATTAAACGAAAAATAACGTAAAACGAAATAATTTAAAATCTATTAATTTAAAAGTGATATTGGTTTAGTAATTAGTATAAATATTTATTTCATGCATACGGACATTAGAATTGATTATATTATTTTCTGTATCTGAGCCATTACCTACCTACCAGCATTAGTTATTATTAATAAATTCAATAGATATTTCACTATTCTAAATAATACGATGTACCCAAAACTTGTAGAACGTTTTAATTCTGAATAACGATAAACGCAAAACTTGGATAACGTTTTAATTCCGAATAACGATAAACGCAAAACTTGTGTAACGTTTTAATTGTAAATAACATAAAGCGGAATTTTTTTTCAAATGCAAGCCCTGCTTTAATAACAATCAGGGCTCGAAACCGATATTTGATACCGATTTTGAATACCGGTTAAAACCTTTAAAAACCAAAACCGGAAACAAAATCGAAAAAAATCAATACCTGTAATCGAAATCGAAATCGAAAAATATAAAAACGGGTATTCAAAACCAAAAACGAAATCAGAGAAAATAAATACCGATATCCAAAACCGAAATCGAAATCAGAGAAAATAAATACCGATATCCAAAACCGAAATCAAAATCGGAAAAAATAAATACAGATAACAGAAACCGAAATCGAAATCGGAAAAAATATGTACGGTTTCAAGCCCTGATAACAATACTTATAAATCTAAATTGCCAATTGGTTCTTCTGAGAGTATATTTAAGATGATGATATGAGTATGTAGACAGAAAAAACAAGTAGATATATAGCAACGAATGCTAGGTACTCGTATAGCTTACATCAAAATAAATTCAATTTAAAAAAACCGGATATTACATACGAAAAATGATCACGTTCAATATTATAATGATATTATGCAATGTACATTACGCACATATTATTATAATATGTTTTTTTTGTATCATTTTAGTGTTCATTGAAAATTAATATATATTTTGAATTCAAATTATTATCAATACCTACATTTTTACAATTATATGAAACTTTTTATTAGGTTTGACAAACGATTTTGAGTCAGTAGTCACATCATCATCAGAATATTATTGTAAAACTAAAATAATCCTTCACTCATAATCTTAAATTTATCTATACATATATTGTTTTATAATAAGAGTCAGATATTTATTTTTACATAAGTAGGTACATAATGTAAAAGTGACAAGAATACTATGAAAACATTTTATTTGTACAGTTAGGTAATAGTTTAACGTACTTACAAAACTTTGAAAACAATTTACAATTTGCATACCTAGTTAATAAGTATATTATATATTATATACTTATATATTTATTCAATAAATACTTTTACGATAGATATCTGACATTTATCAGTTTTCTAGGGTCAGTAAAGGTTTGAATAGATAAGAATTATATAAAAAAACGTTGTGCATCCGTATGATGTCAAATAATAAAATACAACAGATAATTAAGAACAATTTTTAATGCACGTATGTTTCATATACCATAGATACCTACATTAATATTATTACTATAAAAAATTATTAATATCGCAATTCTGTTTTTGCAGATGTCCATTATAATTTGCAATGTAAATTAAAATTAAAATATCTCTTATCTATGAAGCCACGGAGGTACCTATACTTTTGTAATTAACTCTATTATACTATGGTTTTACTGTAATTGATCGTTTGGAAACTACCTAAATCGTAAACAAAAAACTTTTGACTTCTAAGCTAAAAATAAATCCCTACTTGTATACCAATTCAGTCAGTTTCTCAATTGTACATTTGCACATGAAACATTATAATCATAATGTAGGTACTGTTACACTTTTTTAATGAAATTTGTTGGTAAATAATTTCTATAAATCGAATGATATTTGTATAATATTATGGTATACCCCCCAAAAGTTTTCTGTAATTTTCAATAAAAATAAATTAATTTTAAAATTTAAAACTGAATTATGTAATAATTTACAACTAAAGAAATGATACGTTGTATACAATTTATTATGGGCAATCTTTAGGTAATGCGGATATTTCAAGCATTCGATTTTTCTCGGTGTGATGAAAACTGTATTATTTTATTTTATACTAGGTAACGTCATCAATGTTACTAATTCTAATTTACATTCGTATTTTATTAGATACCAAATTTTATCATCATTCTGTACCTGCTATGAAACTTTCGAGATGTAGGTAAAACAAGTGCATGTAATAATATTATAATAAAGTTTATCGACGGAATAACATCATATTATTCTATTCATTTCGTTACCGTTCGACAACGATCAATTAGGTATTACAATTTAATGGTGTTACGCGCGTGTTCATTCATAAGGTTCGTCAAGTTTATCACACAGCTATAACACCGTTGTCCCCCTTTACCATTACAGATCTTATAATAGACATCCGTCTTAGGTCGTTCTAGGAAAAGCACTGGAATCGCAAGTGCACTTTACACCGACTACTGAAACGTTACATCGTTGTACCCGAGATAAGGGCAGACAAAAACCGATTCGGAACGGTTGCACGGGTTGGAACGCGCAGGGCCTAATATTATAATAAATAATAATAATTATTGTATAATATTATAATATTGAATAATATTATGTGAAAATATTAATTCTGATAAATTAATGTTTACATTCTGCGTTTTGTAGGTACTAGGTACGTCGCAATATTATTAGAATATAATTTATTATTATAATAGTTAGGCACAAGGATATATATATAAGTAGATACTATACTAATGCTAAATATTATTATTTATTACTATCGAAATAAAGCGAGAAAAATGTGTAAGTACTTACCGCCGATACTGTTGTAAACAAGTAGGCAAATAATGCGAATTGCCTGCAAAATAAAAACAAACATTTTTTTAAAGAAAAAACAGATGCAATTTTTTTAGTAGCAAGATTTTTGTCAAGTCGATTGAATATTATTTTTTTTTACGGTATCAAAAAGAAATTAACGAAAAAGATTGCACTCAATTAATGCAGAAGATTTACGTAAAAAATAAATTTTACGCGTTTCACTCGAGCTGTAAAATATGAAACATTTTTTTCACGAAAATAATTTAAGCGACCTTTGCCTTCGTAATAATTATACGTTTGGGATGAGACGCGCGTACATATTATTATCATTGACGAAGGGTAAAAAAAAAAAAAAAATTGTGTTAAATCATTATAATAATAACCACATGAATAATAATAATTCGTGATGGTTTTTGGCCTCGGTAGGTACTTACCGCCAACGGAGCAGACTGAGCCGCGGCATGGCAGCCACGGTGTGCAGAGATAGGTAATACCCGCTCGGCACTATTTCGACACGAGATTCGTGCGGCGCACCGACATAGTACTCTCTACGGGCCGCGCGGTAGACGCCGTTTTCGTGGTGCTTCTGGCGCTCTGAAATGGTACACGGGTCCGGCGGCGGCGGCGGCGTGTGTCGGCGTTCGCTATCAGCGGTCGGAGCGCCGACAACTCATCATCGGACGTCCTCCCAGGCCCGGCGCGCGCAGAACTCGCCACCTCGCGGCCGTTTCCCGAACTTCGCGGTTACTGGCCCTTTTAGCGAGCGGATGGCTGTCGGGTTCCGGTTTCAAGTGCTCAGAAACGGAGGAAAAAAATATAAAGTCTCGTCGTGGTTAGGTTCGACTTGTTCGTGGGATACGAATCTTTTCAAAATTAACTAAGTCCATGGCGTCATATAGGTAGTGCGCAGAGAGATACCTCTAAATAACAGACACTCACTTTAAATTATTGTCCGCTATTTAGAGGTGTCCTACACAACTATATTCGATTGTATTGGAACGATTCGTCGTCTGTTTGTTGAATTAATAAAAGCGTCACGACTAACATTTTCATCATCACGATGACAAAAAATATGAATTAGTACAGTGCATACGATGCTGATCATAATTCACAGTCCATTTATTGTCGAGCTACAATTTCAGATTAATATCTAGTTTCGTGAAATAATTAGGTATTATGAATTATGATATAATAATATTATGTTCCAGAAAAATCTTATACCTGGACTCGTCGTTTATATCGTTTCATGTAGTCTGCTCTGCTTACCTATCATGTAGGTACAACACATAATATTTTGATAAGATATAAAAATAATTATTATTCGTAAATTGAAAATATAAACACTTATGTTCATTTAAATGATACCTACTTATAAAAATCTCAATAATAATACCTACTATTGTACCTATTCGTATTCAACGAGTGCCGAAAATCGTATTATCAATTATCAATTAGATATGTAAAGGCTTTAATGTGGATCTACGCTAGAACAATTGACGAACATTGTTGTCAAACATATCTATTTGTTAAAAATGCTCTTGACTTGATGCACATTATGTATAGTCAATGTGCCACTGTGCTTTAATTCGACAATGGTGTCGTTCGACTTTCAAAAAAGATTTTTCGCCTTATTAATATTGGCAACTTAAAGATGGGTATTATTTATTTTATTGGTACGAGCAGGCCCGTCGCTAGTTCACAAGCAAGACATGCGTTGCTTTAGAGTGGCATACAGTTTTAACGAAATTGCAGGCAGCAAAATTAAATAAATATCGGCAAAGAAGAGCGGCATTAAAATGTTCGCTTTAGAGCAGAAAGTATCTAACGACGGGCCTGAGTACGAGTTCACCAATTGGTTGTTGCGTGTAATTGATACACCTATATAGTTTTTCTGAAAACCTAATAGTTTTATATTTTTTATTACTATGTGAGTGCCGAAGATATAATTATTACTAGTGCACTATTGAAGTTTTTGTTTTCATAGCATTAGTTTCGAGAGCAAACATTAATAATTTTGATCCATCTTCATAACTTATTTCTTCCTAAAAATTATAATTTTAATAAATTCGGAATTACAACTAGGTACCAAATGTATTAAATATTAATTACCTAGTAAATTGTAAAAAAATCTATACCAACACCTTATACAATACGTATGAAAATGTCTTATGTTAAATTACATGTCTGCATTTTTAATAACAGCAAATATATTATAACAATGAAAAACGAGATTTATTCAAAGTTTTGTTTAAAAAATAGTTATAATATAGGTATGTGGGATGTACCTACCTGCCCAATAAAAGCAGTAGCTGCCAGCTGGTAACTATTAATATGCTTTCAAATACTATATTTGATATACTTGTACAAGTATTTACTATATTCGAGAAAACTGTTGAGCACATATTTTTTTTTACTTAAATAAACACAAAATATTATTATCATAATACCTAACATAAATAATAATATAATTTTTTAAATATAATAATAAATATCGTTAAATTTACAATATAATAAAATGCTAGATTATATTTGATTAATTGTTTTGTATAAACGCACAAATGTAGGTACAACAAACGTTTTGTATAACATCTTACAAACGTACAACATGCAAAATTTGTGATTGTACACGTATACAGCAGTAAGTTAGTAACGACGCAGTTCGAATTTTGTGTAATAAGCTTTAATATAAGAGTGACAATACCAATTATTAAACTTAAAGGTAATAAGTAATAACATAATATTTGTGTTTTCTCTTGGGTTCTTTAGGATAATTTAATTTTTAAGCTAGATATTAAATTGTGTTATTTTACATAGGTACTCATGTAATTCATAACACATAACTTGCTTCAAAATTAAAATATCGGAAAATACCTAATAAAAACACAGATTGTGTTCTTAGGTATACCTTTGGGTTTGATAATGGGTGAATATTGAAATACTGAATTAACTCTATTAAACCTTAAAAAGTAACTACACAAAATTTGAATTGCTGAGCACAATTAATTTGATACACAATTAGTTTGTAAAAAGGGGCCTACAGATACGGAGAACACAGCCATAAGGACGCGGGTAACAAGTATAACAACCGTCAGGGCCCATTAATAGTAAAGTAACCACATTTCATCATACAAGCACTATAACAGGCAACAGGAAATCTGTGACCAGTTTTGTATTTGCTCTAAGGGCACTTGGGGGCACGATCCAATGGCCCCCTGGCTAATGGGATCCCCAAAATGTTGATGTTTTCATTGGCATTTTTGATGACACACGTCGATGTATTATAGTTATAATATGTATATACTTTTTCAATATTATAGCGTTTTTGGTTTCCGACTACTCGGGCCTGCAACCGGTGGCGGCGGCGGCGTCCGAGAGCGATAACGGTCACCGATAACGGCCGCCGAGTTCACGCGCGCGCGCTATTATAGTGGTCCACAGGGTCGGCGATCGAACACGATGGAGCCAACCACGTGGTGTTCCGCAGCAGCGTAAGCAGCAGCATTACCATCACCACAATAATAACCGTGTTTGGTAACGAAACGATAACGCTGGTTCGTTCGATTAGCAATAATAATATAATATTTAATATTTGTATTATTTTATTTTTCTCGCCTCGGCGCCCACGGCAATAATAATAAATTACAGCAAGACGATCTCGCAACGAGTCGTAAATATCACAACTGTCATCATCGTCGTCTCAAAAATAATAAATATTATAACAAGACACCAAAATAAATTTCGGTTTTTTCATTCCATCGTCCACAAGTGGTCGTGGTCAAACGCGAGCGCGCGCGCGCCCATACGAGCGCACGCACGTACGGCGGCGGCGGCGGCGTTCGGCTGCTCTACGGCGGCGGGCAACTACACCGGAGGCGACCTGCCCGCAAACCACACACAGTCCTAATGGCGCACGGCGGCATTTGCCGGCGGCTCGGCGTCGTCGTTCTGGTGATCGTGCCATGTCTGCTGTTGATGGTCCAAGAAACTCAACAGGCGGTAAGTAGTACACCGATCATTGCAAAATTATAATAAATCATGTTGCATATATAGTAATAATAATATAATCTTCGCATATGGAGGTATATATTGTACCTAGGTATATTATGTCATAATATTGTTGTTACATTATATAAATATGATGGCAGACCGCTTAACGTGATATAATCTCTCGTCCCTATATATATTGCACTTTGGAGGCGGTCCCGGGTTGAGTCTTCTTGATCGGTAGGTATAAGGAGCCGATTCTTGGTTGTTTGAGCCTGAACAGGGGAAAATAATAAATCAAATAGATAAATCAAACATTTGAACATGAATGTTTTAACATTGGCTTAGGTGCACGTCATGATGATCACGGCTTTACCAGAAATATGTAAATAATGTTTATAATACAATATAGTATTTACCACCTTGCATTATTGTCATCATTTTAGGCCGATGACATTCTCCCCTTGGCCCCTCCTATAACTCCGGGAAACTTGCGCTTATATAATATGTAATATGTCAAGTGGGTAGGTCGGCGCAAGATGTGCTTAAACGTACTTGGTCTGGAGCTTTAGGCTTTAGTTGTACGCAGGTATAACGACGTGGCGTCTATCTATATTACAGCTGTTGTCTTATCCATAGTTATTACCTATAATTGGGCCACCGATACGCCGCCCCGAGTAGGTCGTGTCATTACAATAGGTAGTGACGTATTTTTTGATCTTTCAGGATGTAATTTTCTATTCCCGAGTCCTAGTGCCATATCGACAGTGGTAAGGGTAACATAGACTTTTGGGAATGCTCAATGCTCAATGTACCCGCCTCCAACCCTGCCATATTGAATCGGTTTTCTCTTCGTTTCTACAATGGTAGACACATATAGTATAAATTGTAGATACTATTATAATATAGGTACCTAATGTACGTATTTTACCAATGAGTTGGATTTGTTTGTGGGCACAAAGCAGTGTACGACCTTAGGTTTTTTGCAAACTTAACTATTCCAATTCAAGCAAGCATTTATTCACACTTTATTTGTTGTTCGTCAACTTAGACGTTTCGTTGGTAAAACATGTATTTCTTACTGCCTACTATTGCCATATTACTTCTGTGTACAGATCCACCTCTGCAGAGAAATTATTTTGATTTTTTACTATATTTATACGGGTTCCAAATGTATTGGTCGGTGTATAATTTCGTGTGCATATCACTCGGGCAGATATTTTTGATACTCAGTTGATTAGGTACAGTTTGGTAAAACAAAATATAGCTACATCATCATACCATAATGCGATTCATTAAGTACCTAACAATTCTGTAAGTTAAATTGTATTTTGTATATTTTGAGGTTTTTTTGCACATCGACATATATAAATGTGAACGAATACAAACGTATACAAAGTAATATAAGCATACACTAACGTTCACAAATTAAAAAAATAATAAAACAAAAATTTTTCTCAATCAAGAATAAGTAAGAAACATCCGAGGACTTAAGATAATATTGTTGGTACCCTATACGTTTATAGCGAAATAAAGTGCGATTTAGTGAATCTATGTCACGTCTATAATTTAAATGTATGGTTATCACTCAAATATTGAAGTTTTTTCCTTTATAATATGCATGCCTATTGTATTATACAAACATTATAAATGTGTAACAATAGTTATAAAATGGCTATTGTTTTTAGTTAAATTAATATTAAGCATATTTATTTAATAAAATATATTCCGAAACCTTGCTCTACAGTTTGTAGTTTCTGTAATATTATATATTTTTTAAATTATTAATCTAATTTGATAATATCATGCCACTTAATACATTTTATAGACTGCATGGTATCTACAAATTTTTGGTTTATAATAATTTTTATGGGTATTGCGTTTTATTTTTATTAGTTTTATAATTACAGTTTTTAGGAAAATGTATTAGGCTATTGCAGTCTTGTATTGGTTAATATAAACCAAATTTAATACCTATACAATATTATAATAAATGTATTATATTTTGGGATATTTGAACAGTAGGCACATTTGTTCACTGTATTATTCTAATTAAAATAAAGTTGTGGAGCCATCAACATATAATTTTCACAAGGTTAATTATATGATCTTTTTATAGAAATCTTAAACATTGTGGTTTTTTTCTCAATAGAACATTTGGAAATTTTTTATTGTTACACATCGTAGTAAATTTAGTATTGTCATAATTTGTCTCTCATGTGCAAGTTTAGTTACTTGCGTAATATTTAATAGGATGGATCATCCACCTTTGTGATGCTTGATGTACCAGCAAGTGAATCATATTTTTTTTCAAATTCAAATTTAATAATTACCTTTAATTATTTTATACTTAAAGTTACCTGTTACTGGGATTTGATACCGACCATTTCTAAGGAGTTCAATATAGGCAATTTTCTATGTTTGTAAGTGCTTGAGTAATTTTTCGCGTAGTAAGTGTGTGTGTGACTGATGACTATATTATAGTAGTATAGTGTAAAAGAAATATCTGTGAACCGCACGAGTAGCACTCAAGTTTAAATACCTTGAAGTTTATATGAAAAACGACTTTATTACATATTTAATTACTTAGTTTAGTTAACTATAATTAACAATTTAAAATTCTTAAAAAGTTTTTCAAGAGTTTAGAGTTTAATAATTTAAGTGGAAAAATAATTTGAAGTAAATATTTTAACAATATTAAATAAATATTTTTTCAGAAAATGTATCCAAATACTAGGACAGTCGGTACAATATTTATTTTGATACGTTAAGCATATTTAGGGATAAAACCCAGTCAGGATCGAATCCCCTTAAACAAAATATAGATAGTTCTAAAATCCAAATATCAAACGACATATTATAATATTTATTTTAATTTGAATTGTTCATGTCTTCATTTATTATAGTATGCTGTATGGTGGGTATATATATGATATTATGTTCAGTATTGAAAATAGTATAATAGGTATATTGTATGATAATGTACGCATAAAGTAACTTTTGATGAATAATATATATATGATGACTATACATATCATTAATCATATTGCATTCTTATTTTTAAGTAATTTGTATTATCATTTGTACCTACTCGAAAATGCAGCAATTTATTTATTTTAAATTGAAATACTTATTTTTACATACAGCCATAAAGGCTCGTAAACAAATAAGTAATAACAACCACGAAACATTGTTTTCAAATTTTATTTTGTATAAATATTTGTTGAGATCAGGGACTGGAACTTTTTGAATTTATCGATATCAGTTCCGGTACTGGTTCTCCAAAATTAAATAACGGTTCTGGTTCGGATCTGGTTTTTTGATAAAAAAAAATAAAGTTATCGGTTCCAAATAATTTCGGTACCGGTTCCAGAAAATTTAGGTACCGAAAAGTATAATAATTTTAAATACCTGTCCGGAATGTGGGTTTAGTATGAGAAATATTAGACAACTCATATTATGATCATACATAGTTTATACACAAAACATAAATACCATTAAATTATGATGAATAAAATTATTTTATTTTTGAAGCTAAACGAACCTATTTAATTTAAAAATTCCGGTTCGGTTCCGGTACTTTATATTTTATTAAAAAGGTTCCGGTTTCAGTTCTTAATATTTTAAAGGTTCCGGTTCAAGAACCGGTTCTTTTAGATTCGGTTCCAGTCTCTGATTGAGATGACACAATGATTTAATTTTTCTGTAGTTAAATAATAATAATTTCCCTCAAAAAAATTATTTTATTTTATTGTTAAGTATGTGTTACTATAATATATGTTAAACTTCGTATTTACTGAAATATGTATAGCTGGGTAATATATTAAAAATTTTTAAAAATTAGGTAGGACAAATAAAATATTTAGAAAAGTTATGGTACACAAACTGGGACACTTTGGTTGTGGTTTCTATAGTAATATTATATTATTAAATATTAATATATAAAATACATTTATATATTTAATAATATAATTTATATCCATTGTACAATATACTTAGGTTATATAGCTACCTATACATGCATTTATCATTTATTCTGAAAATAATTAAATACATTTGCAGTGATTTATTATATCATTATTCATACATTTTCTATGAATAAGCTTGGAACCCGAAATTCAATAAATGATCTAATAAGAGGTACTTGTAGGCAGTGGCGTATTTTCAAATTTTTCTGGGGGGGGTCCTCAGTTTATACATAATTAATATAAACTATGATATCTTGTAATAGTTACGTCCTTATGAAGTTTTTGGAGGAAGTTGAACAAAATATATAATAGTATAGTCTAAGTCTTATGTAATATTATATATATATATATATATATTGTATTTAGCACTACATATGAAAAGTATTGTTATAAAATAAATTCCAGTCGTCTAGATTTTTTTGCCCACTCCTCTATCACTTCATCAACAGTGATTTCAACATCCCTGTGAATATTTAACATAGCCAATCCGTTAAGTCATGTTAAGTCAGTTACATGATACCGATACAGCAAGATTCAAGGAATGCGCAGAGCAATGTAGGTACATATAAAGCTAAAGGATGTTCTTTTTTTATATAAGCTTGAACTCCATTATATTTCCCAGCCATCGCGGCTGCACCGTCATACCCCTGGCCCCAAAGATATTTTGTATCTATACCAAACTCTCTGAGATTGTCAAGTATAAGTCTTTATACTAGATAAACCTTTTTCAGATGCATCAGTGGTTGGAACAAATTGTAGAACTGTAAAACATTTCGCTTCATTTACTCTAGCTACTATTTTATTGAGTAAAATTGAATTGCATGAATCAATTATAGCATTTTGACTGATAGGACTTGTATATTTTATAGTACCAGAACTTTCAAGATGTATTTTGAGCGAAGCATCACCGCGAGCTCTAAAGCGTAATAAATTACGAAAATTTCCGTCGTTAACATCATTATTATCAACGGTTAATTTTCAGAAATCACGGTTACCTCGTAGAGGTATATATTGTCGACCGCATAAGATAATTGTTTCAATAAC